AATAATCGTTTTATTGACGAAAGGATGGAATGGCTATTCTGGAATAATCCGGAATGTATTCTTATTCTGGAATAGGGTCAATCAAACGCACCCTTAAATAGACTTACGATTGAACCAAAACCAAATTGAACGAAATCTTAAATCGATTTAACTAAATAGATTTAACGACTAAATAACAATTATTCAACGAAGTGGAGGTGGCTAGTATTGGATATTTACCGAGGCCGCGAAGCCGTGAGGTAAATATCCACTACTAGCCACCGACACTGAGGTGAATAATTGTTTTAGTATATACTAAAACAGTGAGATAATTGAGCACAAAATGATGATTCTTAACTCATTTACTGTTGGCAATGATTCCAATTTTGGCGCGCGATGACCGAACGGCCGCGGTCGTCGCTTTTTCTTAGCGACAAATAAAACTTTTGAAGGCATTTGTTTAGCTCTTGCAGGGAAGATTCTTCGAAAGGAGTTGTGAATTCTGTTTGTATTTAAAATAATTCTGTAAAAAAGATTATTAAATTTAGTTTTAAGCTTATTTATGAACAAGTCGACTAAATAAAGTAACGCAGGACTCAAGCTTAATTTGCATTTGTAAACAAAAAACTTTTTCACCGGTTTTATCGATAACTATTCAAGTAAAAAAGACAAAGCTTTACCTGTTAAAACTTCCAAACCGAACTTCGTCACCTTCTTTATGTATTTCGGAAATAGCTTGCTTGATTAGTTGTGAAATTTCTTAGTTTGTTACGGCAGCAAACCGGGAAGGCATTTTGCAACTTACGCGAGTTTGGCGTCTCTCACTCGGAGGAACTGGAGGTGAATCAGTGAATAGTGCAGGATATTCACTGATTGAGTAGCCAATCAGAGCGCCCGAAAAACACTATCCACTGTTTTAGTATATACTAAATAGATTTAACGACTAAGTCTTAAATCGATTTAACTAAATAAGTTTTAAATCAATCTAAGCTTAAACTGATTATTTTTATGATGACTAAGTCTTAAATCGATTTAAGCTTAAATCAGTTTAACTGTAAATAAGTCTTAAATCGATTTAACTTAATAGATGTCTAAGTCTTAAATCGATTTAAGCTTAAATCATTCGATTAAGTCTTAAAACGATTTAACTGCAAATAAGTCTTAACTGTCTATAAGTCTTGAATCGATTTAACCTTAAATTGATTTAATGACTAAGTCTTAAACCGATTTACGCTTAAATCAATTTAAGCATAAATCAATTGACTAAATAGTTAAAAAACTTAACTTTAAAAAAATTTATTTTAATATCAAGTTGTGTATACTATATAGATTTAGGACGATTTATTTTAATTTAAAGTTATGTATTTTCATTAAAAAAATTACATAAAGTGCTTCCTTTTCATTATGCCAGCCGCTGATAAACATTTTACCTTGTTATATAAATTTATGTAGTACCGTATTTTTATTTATGAAATTTATATAACACCCTTTGGCCAAGAATGGCACTGATATTTGTGCATGCGGTTCCACAACACTGTTCACATGCGGGAGATAGGATGCTTTTTGTTTTAAAGGATGAGCTCATCATATTTTATTATCGTAGAGACCAGGGTAAGATGAGTTAACAATAACAGACAGATTATTATAGGTGGGTTACTCATTTTTACAGCTATCCCCAGAAGAGGAAATAGAAGTTAGGAGCTGCCTGGCAGCCATTGAGATTGAAGAGAGGAAAAAGGAAATTGAAAGAGAAGAGAAAGAGTTGAAAGGAAAAAAAGAAAGGTTCAAACAAAAAGCAAAAGGAATTAAAAACACAGTAATAGAGGCCAAGCGGATAGCTGTCCACACTGCAACTAATGGCAGGGCAGCTCGACCGTTTTTTTATTGCAATGATTGTTAATTTCTACTACTCTTATTTGCCTTTGAAGAAGATTAGGGAAATCAATGACTTGAGGCAGCAGCTGGATGCAACCGATTGCATGAGGTGAGGTCTCTCGTGGAGAATCGGGTGCGTGTGATTACTTTTTTATGCTGGTGAGTTAATTGCAATGTCCATAGTTCATGATGGCCCAGGGCCAAGATGCTTTGAGCCTCCCTTGTATGATGCATTGACAAAAGGAGTTACTGTGTTGAGGATATTAATGATTTTTATTACAGAAATTCTCCTCACGCTCTAAAGAAAACCACATAGTTCAAGACGCTCAAAAGCTTATCTCAGATCGTAATCTAGAAACAGTCTTAGAGCTGGTGGGTACCAAATATGACAAAATGTCTCAGTACCAAAAATTTAGTGAGAAGAGATACTTACTTCCTGTATTGTGCTACCAAAAATATAATAACATACTGCCCTGAAAACCCAAAACCGTTTAGCAGACGGAACCCAGTGGTGCTGGGCCGATGAAGATGACAATGGAGAAGCAACATTCTCCTTCTTAATTTGTAGCAACTACAAAAAGCTCAATATTGAGATGACAAACCTACAAATGCTGTTTAAAGAGTGAGAAGCTTTCCAAAGTGCCACATAATAAAGTTGTGGCATTCGAGTGGAAGCTTAAAAAAGAGGGAGATAGATGGAAAGAGCTCAAGAAAGAACTTAACGAGTCCAAAAGAAAGATTGCAGAACTACAAGGAATCATTGACAGATCACAGCACCATTATTTACGTTATTTACTTCTACTATCAAATGTCGAAGACCAGGACCAACTAAATTATAGTTCAGGCCTACATGTAATCTAATTCTGGTAAGATCATTATTCTGGACCCTAGCAGGGGAACTAACACACCATGTGGGTGGGCATCAGAGCATCAAATTTTCGCACGCAGGTTAAAATAGGTGCAAAAAACAGACAGTTCTCTTGGAAGATTAATGTTAATTTTTTACATAGTACAGTATCCCTTAAAATTTATTTGGACTAACCCTTTTAATACTACACATTATTTGGCTTCCTTTTTTTGAGGTCAGATTGGAATCATCTGATTTATGGCATTTAAACGTGTTGTTTGTGTGGGATTTTTGGTGTCTTTTATTTACTTATTTGAACCACCTTATCCATGAGATACAGCTAAATAAAAAAGGTTGCTTTGACTGCTGGACATTGGTAATTGGGCAATGATATGCTTCTCATTAGTAACTACGAAACAATAGCTTCTCAAAGGCTAAATGATGTCACTGAATCAGCTATTAATACATACATGTATAGGTGGAACGTGGTTGCTACAGAAACTTCATCCATGAAATCTTATCGACACCTGAAATTTTCTTTATGGTATACGAGGGGGTTTCAAAGCCTGCCCAGTCTGTAAGATACAAATAAAGGGTTTCTATTTATTCCAATTATCATTTGGTCAAAAATGTGCTGCAGGTCCCACGACATACCAAGAACAAACAGTATCCATGTGTATTAATTATACATGACCAAATCCAGCTGGTAGTGCATAAGGCATGCAAAACCAATCAGTCTTAGAAAAAGGCCAGCACTTCTTGACAACTGTTATCTGTGGTAAACACAGGTTAGGAAAAAACAAATCTGCTAGAGCAACTTAAAAAAACTATGATAAAATTCAAATTTTCAAAACTAATTACATGTATATGAATATTAACAATGTATAATAATAATAATAATATATAATATTTCTAATGATAATAAACTTAATTAGTAATACTAATAAAGTGAATGTGAAACAGGTTACATTGTAAAAGCTGCACGAAATAAAGAAGTTTTCAGCTTACATTTGAAAATAGCTAATGATTGAATATCACGTAATCCAGCCGGCAAACTATTCCATAAATATGGGGCAGGAGCAGAGAAAGATCTGTCACCATCTGTCATCTGTCAACGTGACAAGCATTTTCCCTTTAGGAGGGTCTAGCAATAAACTTTGATTTGATCTAAAATTATATATAGACCTAGGCTTAATGTTAATTAGTTCTATGATATACTTGGTGCCAATCCATGAATAGCTTTAAATGATTGTTTTTCTTTTTTGTGGGGGGGGAGGGGGTGCTCGGTTCTTTTCCCTGATGACCTCACTCTTTATACAGAGCCCACAGAACAAGTGTTATCTTTAAAATGGAAAGGCTAGACAATCGACAACAGAAGCAGGTTTACTTAATTACCTATAGTCGGGCAAATTTGACTGCATTTCCTTCTTGAGGGAGCTTTGCAATTGCAAAAGTCTGTGCGTTTAAAACTAAAACTATGTTCAATATCCTGCACTGGGTCGTTTGCACTGAATGGCATAGTGATGATTTCACCAAGACTGTAGTTTCCATTACAACATGGTGGTAAAACTTTCTAAGAAGACTAGATGGGTTAATGTACGCTCTTATCTGGACCAGGAATTTCCCGTACGAACGACCCAACGCTGCCGCAGTGCTGCAGCGGTACACTTTTATGGTTGCACAGCGCTTAAGCGTCTGTAAAGCAGTGTTCGTGAGTCACTCAAGCAGAGAACGTCACATTTCGTGCACTGCAAAAGCCCTGCAAAATTTTGCCACGGTAAAGCAGCAGTAAAGCAACACTGCAGGCCGCTGCTTAAAAGCTGCAATGAGACTTAGATATAAACATTGAAACCACTTCATATGACAACCTGAATACAAGCGATGCTTGAGGCTGCATCATCGCTGCAGATACCAAATAAGGACTTTCGGATCTTCAAAATTAAAACCCTGGAAAGCAAAATACATCACTGGAGGTTCCTTTAAAACAATTTATTACCTTGGCCGTGAAAATTATGAACGAACCGGCGTTACTAGTAATATTCGGTGCATGTTTCCAACTTGGGGCCTCTTACTTGTTTGAATGTTCGTTTGGCAGTTAAAACAGATAAATCAAGATACCATGAGTAGTAACAGAGATGTACATGTTCTTCCATATCCTCCAACTTCCAAGCAACAACTGAACAAGACCTCAGCCACGGACATACATGGCGCGCAACCGCGATAACCGGCTAGAAACTGTGTATGCGGTGATGCTTAACCAGCAGCAATGCTTTGTTGACAAACGCTGAGGAACTGGAAGTCGTCATCGGCAAATCACACTAGGTTTACACTCTCTATTCCTTTCCTGGATATCTGCATGAAGCCTCAAGCTAATCGCATAGCCACTTCTATACATTACAAAGCCATGGATAGCCACTCTTACTTCATCTTCAGCTCATCCCATCCTTACAGTTGTAAGTCATCCATACCTTATAGTCAGTTTCTCAGAGTGCGTAAGATCTGTAGCGATGACGCTGACTTCGACATTGAGGCAGCAAAAATGGAGATCTTTCTTGCAGCACGCGGATATCTGAATGACCTCATTAGGAGGGGAAGGGAACAAGCATCGACCAAATCAAGGGCTGAAATTTTGAAGAGTGTCGCTGCTAACAACATAGCTAAGGACAGCGTACCTTTTCTCACTACCTTCCTTCCCAGTAACCTTGTTGTCAAGAAAATAATCTCAAGGAATTTCCGGATCCTTTGCGAGGATAGCAGGACAAGCAAGATCTTTAATAAACCACCATTGAAGGCTTTCAGGCGTGCCAAGAATCTGAAGGGTCTATCAGTCAGAAACAGCCTACCTCGAAACCTTCCACACCAATCACCAGGAACAGTTCTCCATTTAAAAATGGAAACTTCCTTTTAAAAATGGAACTGGAGAGTAAGGCCTTTTTCCTCGGGATATTTCACTGATAATCCAATCAGAACGATCTGTTGTAAGTGCTATTAAGTGTGTGAGATCATCCCACATCTAACCCAATCAAATGGGGACAAAGATACGTGATATTTTGGAATGTTGGGATATCTCGTGTATGAGCCAATCAGGGAGTCTCTTATCATACCGTTAACTTCACACCATTTCCGATCTCAAAATAAATAAAAGATAAGACATCTGCTATCAGGTTAAAAGATCATTTACACAATGAAGATAGAGATATACAGTTACCGTTCCCATAAACTTAACACAAAATCCGTCAGTTTGTTTATGTGAGAGGGGTTTTGTGGTTTGTCTGCCGACTGATGTTCTCACAGGCGCTAGGATACGAAGCCAGAAGATGTGAGAGAATTTTTGGACCCCAAAAAATCAAAAATTGACACGCTATTTTTTCAACAGTAAGTGCAAAAAAAAACTATCCTTAATCCAGCCACCATCGAGTATCTGTTGAACGACAGTCTTTTCTCAAGTTGCAATGGAACTTCGTTAATGAGGTGATGAATATATGAATGTTATAAATATATTAAAATTGCGGGGTGAAGAAATAAAAGCACAGGAGATCACGACAGTGAGATACGCAATTATTTATGCTGTTGGGAAAAGAAAGCCTGCATTACACAGATCTTTTTTTCCCATCTTATCTTTGACTCTTTCATTGCAGTCTCACTTTATTTTCTAGCAAACATGAGGGGTTCGAGTGCATTAATTTGAACAGCTTAAATTTCATTCATTATACATCAGCGCTATTTTAAAATTATAAGTAGCGGAATATTCCGCATATAAACGAATCAGAACCTCTTTTATTCCGGGGTGCTGGATAATTCCGCGTTCCAAATTCATGCATGCATGTACACTAGTAGCTTTTGAAATCGTGAGATAATGAATTTGAGGCAGAAATATCCTTTCTTTATTCATACATTTCTGCAGCAAAGCAGAACATTCCTTTTGTTTCATTTCAAATCGAGATACATCGCACTGATGTAAGCACATTTTCCAAAATAGTCACGGCATTTCTTTAATGTATGTGTTGATGAACACGTAATAAGCACAAACTAGAATACCTTTGCCACTGTATACTGTACTTATCTCACCTTTTTGTTCCAAAAGCGCTAAAAAAAAGCATTATGTTTCTGTGAGGGTTGAATCCAATAAATGATCCATACTGGCACGCGATTTGCAACTGTTAAGTTTATTCTTTCATTGTTTTTAACATTTTCACTACAGATGTCAACTCTATGTGGATTTTCCATTTCCTCTCTGCAATTTTTATCGGGCAGAAATGGTCACCGTTGTAACACAAAACCTGTTAAAAACTTAAATAGAAAAACGCCAAAAACATACTAGAAAGATGAAACAGTCATCTAGAAATTTTTAGCCTTTCTTGACTTATCGAAACTTTTAGGTAATATTTGCTTCTTCAAACTAATGTTTTACAGAAAACAGTCGTTGTGTGCCCCTCAGATAACAGAGGGAAATAATTTCAGCATTTCTTTATGCCCATATATGGACATGGAATGTTAACCGCAAGTTACATAACAAATGTAGCAAAGGTTAAACGCGTGACTATTTACTGATAAAAGTATGAAATACAAATCCACGACAATACTGCAGAGGCAGTATCTATTTAATAGAAACCAAACGGAAAAGCAACGGCAAGAAAAATATCGCAGAGCAGCCAAAAATGATCAATGTGTTGGCTTTGAGGCTTAGAGAAGCATTCATGCCATATCTGTGTTGTTCAAAAACATGAAAGAAAACTTTCAATTCTTGTGTCTTTGTTGAAAGCACCACTCCAGGAAGAGAGCACACACACACACTTAATAGCACTTACAATAGATCGTTCTGATTGGATTATCAGTGAAATATCCCGAGGAAAAAGGCCTTACTCTCCAGTTCCATTTTTAAATGGAGAACTGTTCAGGTACTTTCCCTTGTAACAGGACTGTTTTCCGCACATGTCCCCATGTTAATTCATCATCCACAATTACAACACCCAAAGGGCATGTTTACATCACAGGACATTTTTCCTGCATCACTGAACACATAGTTTATTGCTTGTTGTGCACCAAGTGTACGTCGATAGTGTACATTGGGGACACTGGATGCAGGTTGGCAGACCATTTTCGAGAACACCGCAGAGATATCATCAACAAGAGGAATAACCTTCCTGTACCTACTTTTCGAAACCGTACATGTCATGCAGCTTATCTTGTGGTACAAGTCTAATACAAGCTATGCAGAAGTTCAAGTACTTACTGTTGTAAACAGATAAGCTCATATATTATCGCTTAACTATAGTTTCTATCGCAAGCATTGGTCGTAATCGTCGAATCGAGTCTTGAATTCTATGCGTTTCAAAGTGTGTTTTTCATGTGAGATTAAAGCAAATCGTACTGTGCTTTGGATCGCTTTATTAACTCACAATAACAGCATCCGTTTTAAAATTTTTAAATTAACATTTATAAGTACTACACTGTGCAGGTTTTTCAATCTTTATTACCCTCTCTATTGCTGCCCGCTACAGTGTTGTGAATGAAATTTAATGTTATTCTTAAGTCCAACTTTTAAGACCCATCTTTTTAGTGTGCCTAAAAAGTTCTTGTTTTATTTCTGGGATCAATTGAGTTTTCTGTACTATCTCTGTCATCTGGTCTGTCTGTCTACTTTAAATTGTCACTGAGACCTCAAAGTCTTATAGATCAAGGATTTTTAGCCTGTCTGCGACGCAGACTAATCTGATCTTGCAGCAATGAAAATATGACTGAAGTGAAAGTAGAGAGACAGTCTTTTGAATTATAGCAGTATTTACAAATTGCCATGAATTATAACTTTAATATAATTTTTACATACAATGTATAGGTGTGTATTCTTTCTGAGATCCAGATTCCTTGACATTTTTCGGAGGGAGAGAAGCGACGACCGGAAATACGTCTGCGGTTCGCAGGCTAAGGAGTAACAAGTTCTTTTAAAAAGTAATCGCTACTTTCATAGTCTGTAATATCATTATCATCATCACCATCATCATCAGATGGATCACTCACACAAGAACGTTTCAGTTGCAAACCATGTTCATTATCGCTGCAGTCAAAATGAAGTTCAACTGGCTCTGCGATCTGTTGTACTTGTTGCTTTGTGACTTGGAATAAATCGCTTGTTGTTTTGTCCACGTCAGCTTCTGTTAACTGGGAAATTCCTTTTGTAATACTAGAGACCAGACAACTGGGCTTTTCGATGTCCCCAGTTTCAAAAAATGAAAACTGAAAGTCTTGGTTCGTTTGGGTCACGAACGTGCTCATGCAACATTTGCAAGTGAGATAAGGATGAGCCACGAAAATGCACTGTGTTGACAGGCAGGTTTAATAATGAGCACGCAAATCCCCTTTGTGGAAATAGTAGGTCAGTAAGGTGCACCTCTAGGACTGTACATAAGTTTTTTACATAGATAGGTCATTCCAGGTTAGAGTGGTGTAATAGAATGATTACTCAATAATAAAGAAGCACTGAGATTTTTATCTCAAAGCTGGCGAGTTTTGCTGAATTAATGTCATTACTATGGAAGGTATTTTCTTCATAACTCAAACTATCAGTGGCGAATTGTGTTTGATTGACGTTTAGCTTTTCCTTCCAACTGTTTAATTTTGCTCCCTATAAGGAGACTTCAACTTCATACAAAATGTCATAGTCAAAATCAACTTCTTTGTCCTTGACCTTACATGCAGAAGTTGGAATCATTTATTGTTATTAACCAAGGCTAACAGAAAACAGGAATATGTTGCATCAGGTTGTTATTTTTATAAGCGACCTGAGTGAACCATTCTCTTTGGAAACCACATCTACTTGCCGTAAATAGCGAACCCTTGCATCCTATTGGCCCAGAATGACACGGTAATTGAGATTTTGGAATACCATGTGACCCCAAACGATGTGGTTCTCTGTTTGCGCGCTCAATTTGAACTGAAAATCATCGATCGATCTGTTTTGGTTGTTACCGTTTGAAACTGTATTCACTGTAGCTTATAGCGAAATAACTATGTCTCTTCAACATCCTGCAAGCGAGCTTTTAACCCTGGAATCATCAAAGAATGAAGAACGTCAACTCTAAAGTGAGTAAGGTAAAAAGTCCTACCAAGTATGCCATAGTGTATTGGTAGAGACGAAAGACTTTAATGTCATGCCACTATCGAAGATTCCTAAAGACAGTAGAGAAGAGGGAGCTTCAGCTACCTTAAAAGCTGAGCGTAAAGAGTGGGAGACTAAGATAGTGAAAAGTGGAGGTGAGAAGATATACATACATTTTGTGTTGTACGACATTACAAATTAAAGCAGGAAATGTCTTAAAAGGGATAGTTAGAGCTATGGATGCATATAACTATCTAGTTCGGACGCGAATGATAAGAGCTGATTTAATTTCTTTGTCATTTAATGCTACGGTGACATTAAAAAAGTATAAATCAGCCAATTTTCCCCGAGTCTAACGCAGGAGATTACATCTGGGAGCGCCAGAATTCAGAAAATTTGCCATGATGACGCGACTACTTCTGAAGACAGTTCCTTTACAATAAAGTTGGGCTAAACACGATAAGCGAATGTGCTGGATCAGAGGATTGTCCATGCAATCATAGGTAAGATATCAGTCATTCTAGGATAAACGTGAACTGACAAAAAACAGTGTGGTTGTGTTCAAAGCCCCGGGGTTCAAAGCACTCTGCAAACTGTCCTTAAAGTGAAATCTCAGTTTAACGACAGAAGAAATCGATTTATCTATTATGATCTACTATGGGTTCTCCCCAGTTTTTCGCTTTTTCTCTTCTTCCCAACTGTTTATGTCCTGTCATACAAATGCCATTAGCGTTAAGCTTTTATTTCAGGTATTTTTTATTTATTCAATGTTTTCCTTTATATTTTAGTGTATGCTAAGTGCCATTCTTTATGGGTAAAAGGAGGCAAAATGAGCAAGGAAGCCATGTGTGATTGGGGATGAATTATACGAAATAAATGTATAACTGTTGAAAGGCGGTTGAAACAGAGATTGAAAAAGGAATAAACTCATCAGTGATCAGGATGTCCAGGATGTTAGATTGCTTTCGCAAAACCCGTAAAAAAATGGAATTAGTATATACTGAGTGTCTAATATGATAGGGTCTATTTGCCTTAATGCTATGTCACAGGTTAGACTGATTTAGAAACCGTTAAACACCATGGACACTATAATTCCATTGTTTTGTTTCGTTTATTTTTAACTATTAAACAATGTTGCTTAATTTTGTTTCACGGGTTTTGTGAAGTCACTCTAGGTCATTCCACTCTAAGCTAGTTTAAAAATGTTTTTGTGGTGTTATCTTGCCGTTAAGCGTTAAACCTGACTGATTTTCATTTATAAATAACAGCACTTTGAATACACTCAGCATGTCTAGTAAAAACGACGTGAGTGCAAGCTACCTACGTCGTCATGAAGGCTTTAGATTCAAACACTGTAAAAAATTTTTAGAATTTGCCTTTACTTTTTTTGCTCCTCAATGTTTTTAATTGCGTGGAACACGAAATTGTCAGATTAACCACGTAACTAGAGGGACACTTCATGTATCGTTAAGTAAAGTTGTATGTTCAAAACATGTGACTGGTCAAATGAGAGAGTGCATTCAATCAGTGAGTTAATACATTAAAGGTTGGAAATTTGTGTCTGTCGTTAAGTCATTATAGGACATTAGTTCTGGCATTGCTGTTGACACGTTATTACTAAGAAGTCGTATGAAATGGACTGCGCTTCGATCGAAGGACTACAGGTAAGCACGGGATTCGTTATCCTCATATCCAGATATTGATTTTTTTTAAATTATCGATTGAATCGCAATCGCGCACAGCGACTGTTCTTTGCAGTGCTTCACCAACGCTGCACAGCCCTGCATAAAAGCTGTTTATCGACCTATGGCTTTGTGTGGCTATTTTTTTGCATCTTTACGGCAGCGCTCCTGCAGCTCTCAGTATCGCTACCGCAGCATCAACGCAGGCACAAAATGCACTGCTGCAGGGAACGGAAAACAGCGTTCATGCAACCTTTCTGCAGCGCTCGTTGCAGCGCTAATAAGTCGCTAAAGCAACGCTGTTTTAACATCTTCTGTATCATACGGGTTCATATTCAGGTGAACTTTAGTGCTTTTCATAGCACTTATCACAGTGCCCCGTAAGAAACTTGCAGCGCTGTACAGCGCCACAAAATTGCTTCAAAATAGCTGTACAGCTAAATTACAGCTGTTCAGCAGCCTTTTAGAAGCCAAACAACAGCTTCATTCAAGTTGCAGCGGGATGCAAAAGCGCTGTGCAGCCTCTGAAGGCTCTTTGAAGCTCTCGGCAGCAGTTTTGCAGCGCAGTTGCCAACTTTCAAACGCTGCGAAGTAGCTGCAGTAACGCTACAATTCAGCTGCGGTCGATCTGACTTTCTTGAGCGCCAATAACATGAATCGTCAGATAAAGCCTTGGCACAGATTACGGCTTTTATAACGCGAAAACTTTGACTGTACCTCTAAGAAATGTGAGTAAGCTTGTGCGCAAAGAAGATCAACTATAGAATAAACCTCCAAATCCTATGCTTTCAATAAATTTCATTTCGTGACCGGAGAATGTGGGAATCTTATTCCCTGGAGACATTCTAGGCCATAATCTAATTGGTCGGTCCTTTTGCATGAGATCCCATTACATCTCTAGACAAACACGGGTCACCCAAACATTTGCGACCCGTTGAATAAAAGGCGCAAACATTCTAAGTTTTTTTGCATCTAGTCTGTTTCGAGATGGAAGTTCTGTTGAAGTTTTTGGATGGAACAGCTCAAACGTATTTGCAAACAATGCCCTGAAGAGTGACTTCTACACTAAGTATTGATGAATCGAACCAGAGCAAGCAACACAGATACAAGAATCTCAGATGGGGTTCGCACTTACAAGATTCTTATACTCTTGTGGTAATGTTCGTTCCTTAGTCCATTGTAAAATTTAACGACGACCAAAGTAAAACTGGGTTGATTTCTTTCATGAAAAAAGTGTAGAAGATCGTGGATCATGGACAAAACGTCAAGGTGAGCAATGTCCAGCTTAGCCTGTTGCAACTAATCAAAATATCATTTGCCTGCTGGCCGTGTAAACTTTATGTAGAACAATCGCTGTTATTCTCTTTATTTTTTAAAAAGATAATTTTCAATGTCGGCATGTTAATGGATGTTTTACATTCAGATGAGTGACCGTGATTGCTAAATATTTACAAAGCGAGACTGTTGCAGATTTGTTCTATGTCACGTGCTTTTGTAACATGTACGCGTGGATACTAATAAAGTATAAGTTGCATTTTGACTTTCTAGTGGTTTTACTCTGCTACTAAGGCCTTGTCAACTCCTCTACCATGTATCGTGATTATTGTATTAGTGGAGCCTAGGCCATTACCGGTAACAACATTCTTTGTCTTTTCAAAGCCACTTTGCAGCACTGATCGTGATTCGGGAATTTTCTGCACCACTGCAAAAGCGCTGTTCATCGCTGTCAAAGGGCTTTCCACTGCAGCCAAAATTTGCGGCTGCTGCAGCCCAGCGCTTTTACAGCTCTTTGTAGTGCTTCTTGAAGCCATTCTGCAGCACTGCAGCAGCGCTGCTCGTTTCGTACGGGGCGTACAGATACACTGTAAACGTGGACAACGAGGCGCTATCTTCAGAGAACCATCTGAGCCTCGAACTGAAAAGGCTATAATCACAAGGAAGAGGAAGGGAAAACAAACCAAAAGCAAAGCAGGCAAGAAGAAAGAACGAAAACGGTTATTGGTGTATGATGTAGCACAGTTAATCCCGTCTCGCGACATCACTTCGTGATTAGAATTGGTAGCGTTAGTGGTTCAGCAAAATAGAGCGGGAAAAAGTAATCTTTCTGAATTCATTGCGAACAGAGGTCAAAGAGCCGTTGAGGATGCATTACAACTGGCTAAAGAATTTATGGAGGCCGAAGCTCAACTTGCCACAAGTAAAAAAGGTCAGTTGGATTTGCTTGAGGAAGCTTACAAAGGAGAATGTGCTAGCGAATGCAACGAGGGGTGGTTATGGTACATGACAACCTTGATTGAAAACAACGGCATCTTGTTGAATCATTTCTGTAGTTCCGTTTACATAGCGCTTCATCAAGGAAGGGGAAAATATTGCAACATGTATGTCCACAGAACAGCAAATGCAGGAAAAACTTTCATTTTAACACCTCTCAGATGTATCTAGAAAGCCTTCTGTAACCCAGCGACGGGTACTTTTGCTTGGATGAGAGCCAAACAGTCGGAGATTATTGTGTTGAACGACTTTTGCTGGAGCGCTTCTATAATTCCTTGCTCAGATTTCCTGCAAATGTTAGAACGTGATGTCGTTCACCTTCCAGCACCGAAAAGACATTGAATTCACAAGGGACACGCCATTCTTGGCCACGGCAGACACTCCATTAGTCTTAGTAAAGGGTGGGTCCATTGATCAGACCAACACTCAAATGATGTCAGTCTGTTGGCGATGCTTTCACTTCTAGAAGCAAATTCCCGAAAAGGATCAAGTATGTCTCACTCCCTGTCCGAGATGTTTTGAGAAACTTATTATCGATATCAAATGAAACCGCCACATATTTTCTTATCTCCCTAACCTCCATTAAGAAATTCACCCAGGGGACATGACAGATTTTCAACAGTGCTCCATAAGAAATGTTTCTTTTTTTTAACCAGAGGTAGACTGTTTAACAATAAGTTAAACAAAACTTTGATGAAAAAGTTATTTTCTCGAGGTCTTTGAGACAATATTTCTCTTACCAGGAGAAAAGTTAGAAAATACTCAGTGCTCCATTGCATATTTAAATTAGAGTTATTCATAGGAAAGTGTTTTACCACCATTACAGTGAAGGACTGTTGTAAACCACCAAAGAAGATGTTCATTTGAGAAAGTAAGCCACATTTGAATAGCACAAACGTTTGGTTTTATAGAAGTAAACAAATATTTTACAGACAGTGGTACCTCTTCTAAAGACCAAAAATGAGAATTTACCAGCGGAGAAATGTGTTGCGTGACAATGGAGCATCGCAAATTTATTGCACTGAGATGATGGTCATTAACCACGCAGAATGTTTTCACATGGACTTTCTTTAATGCAAAAACATACTTAAGTTTCACTAACATCACTTGTCGAGTTTACATTTAATACTCGATTCTTGCACCTTTTGAAGCAATAATTTGCTTGATTGGCGTAGGCATGCTTCTCATGCGATGTATGAGATCTGTAGGTATTGAATCAAAACATCGCATCACTCTGGTTTTAAAATCATTAAACGTTTCGTGTTCTATTTGAAGACGAATGGCCTCTTGTTCTAGCATCTTCCTAACAATATGGAAAATGTTTTCAATAGAATTTAAGCACGGGCTCCAAGGATGAATTTGGTGGAATTTGGTGGAACTCAGCATTGATGTCTTCGACACCAATTTTGTGGCGTTTAAAACCTGAGATGGATCGTTGTCCATTACAAAAAGACGACGTTTCTCTCTACCTGCTCTTACAAAACACCTAGGAAATTTTTCTCTTACAAAAGAAGCAAAAAAACTACCGTTCATCGTTTCATAGGCTTCACGAAGAACAACACCTTTGCCATAACTTATAGCTACTAAAGCATGTAGTCTTTTGTCTCCCGCAAGATCTTTGGATCCTTTAGCTGTTACAGTTAATCCCTCGGATTGTCGTCACCAAATCCGGGTTTTGGTTGTTTGGCTATGCTCAATGGATTACTTTTGTAAACTAAGGACACTCCATCTAAGTTAGAAGCCACATCTTTGCTCCAAAAATCAGGACTTTCCTTGAGCTTTCGCTTCATGTTTTACACATACTTCAATCTCAGTGAGCGATCTCATTAAGGTAACACCAAAACATCCTTCTGCTTGCCAAGTGACTTATTCCAGCGTTCTCCCTTAGCTGCTTTACAGTGAAATTTGCGTTGTCCCTACGTACCTTTTCAGTAGTACGAATCAATCCTCTTATTCCACGTTTGTTAACGTTTCTTGGCCTCCCTCCTTTCTTCTTGTCAGGTTGTTTTTGGGGCTTGGCTTTTCTGCAACAGCATACGTGGTGCACTTTGGACTTGGACAATTTGCATCTCCTGGCAATTTCCCGATAGCTTAATGGCCTAGCTGAGTTTTTTTGCAATAGCAGAGCCATAGATTTGGCTTCAGCTGATATTTTCGCCCCCACCTTTACCACTTCAAATGAGAGATGCTAAACTGTTGCTATTGTCGTCGGTTCGACCAGTCTATCTGCTGTGCCTTTGACAGAGTTTCCAAATAAATGCCCTTCAATGGTATTTTACCATACAAGAAGTAGGGTTACTTCAGTTGTTTTACATGCATGCCGTATTTTCACTGCAATAGCACTTCATGAAGTGTTCATTTGACATATAGACACAGTGTGTACAAGCAATCTGTGACCTTTCATCTTTTAGAAAACACTGAGTGAGCTCCAGTTCCCTACTTCAATTTACAAAACATGTCATAAACTCAACCATTACAAATATTTCCAAAGACAAGTTTTCATACCGCTAAAGAGACCCTTGCGAGCAATTGATGTTTTGGACAATCCTGGCCAAAAGGGTTTGGAACACTTCTCTTACCCCCTCCTCTTTTTGGTAGGAAATTGGGGAGTGACTGTCAATTTACAGTCGTCAATACGGCTATGCCTCGGTTTCCTCCTCCCCCCTAAACAAAGTTTTTGGCCAGTAACACCCAACACTGTCCAGGGGGGAGGGGGATGATTGGATAGTGCACAGATCATGTGGAAATGACTAAGTGTCGCAAACGTTTTGTTCAGGATTGTAGGTTGTTGTAGCTAATTTTAGGTAACATTTCTGTCAGTTTATTCTGTTTGCTTATGTTGGCTCGTGGCATTATCAATCTTTTTCAAATAATTCAGATATATTGGCCTTGATTGTCCGAGGTTGAGGTGTCGATAAAAGGGCCGAATTATTAGAAATACCCCGAAACATTAGCATCAAGCTACAACCAGTTGCAAAAGTACGTGAGACACTGAACCGTATTTTGGTATAAATGGCCTGTCCATGATCTTGTGCGTGTGATCCCCCCTCCACCCCTTATCAAAGTTGCTAGCAATACAAGATCATACTCAAAACTTGGAGGAACAACTTTGAATGGGAGGGAGGAGGGAGGTCAGTATTATATAATACAGACCTGTGACCAGGAGCGATTTGAAGCAAGAAAGGTCGTTTTTCCGTGGGAGTGTCTCATCATTTTTGCAACTGGTCGTCTGAGTCCTTCATACCCCTATAGCCGTGGTGCACGATTATTAAACGGGGTAAAACGTGGTGCACTCTTAGCACCTAAGGAGGTGGTTATAAAAAACAGTATTTCATTTTTGTCGGTTTGCCTGTTTAAAAATGGCGAGACAAAAACGGCAGTTGTTGGCCCTTTTGTTTATGTGGTAATATGCAAGAAATTGGGCTTTTAAAGGAAGCACGTGGCAAAAGATGCCACACCATCTTAAGTAAGCTGCAACGAAAGGGGTTTTGGTCCTAAAACACTACAGAGATGCGAAAAATAATACATTTTCTTCAAACTCAGTTAAAAGATGTTTATTTACGGAAGGAAAGTGACGTAAGATGCCCCGCTAGATCAAGGAGATAGCTTTTTGTTGTTGTTTCCGATGAAGTACGTGGACGTGGTTCCTCTTTTATCGCCTGCCATTTACAGGAAAGAAAAGTTACGCTAAAAAGCAGCTGTTGTCGACTTTACTTTACTTAACACAAGTTTGGATTTGTGTTTACCCTTTGGTCGTCTTTCAACTTTGTTTCGATTCTGAAGCCCGAGTGTGGCTATAGGCATCAGATAATGAAAATTCATGCGCGTATTTCAGTAACATAGTCGCGAGAGCTCGCATATAACGTGGCTTTGTAGTTTTGTACTTGGTAAGGAAATTTATTTCTTTGCAAAAAGGAAGACACTGTCCCCAAGAAAAGCAATTTTCCAGCACAGCAATGTCAGGAATTTACATGCTTCAATGGTCTACACAGTCTACATGGTCTACCATCATATGAGATAATATAATAATATATTCTATTTCTTACTGTTGCAGTCTGGTAGACTGTGGATGATGGTAGACCGTCAGAAAATAGAAATTAACATAGCACACAACTTTTGCTGCTCTCTAGCTCTAACGGACTTTAATAACCATCTTATTTTCACCGTAGTAGATAAAAAAAACTGAACGGATTTACTTTAACAACGATGTTGAAAAATAAGTCACGCGGTATACCGATTACATAGCGCCATTGCATATCAAATGTCATTGCGTTACAGATACAGGGGTGAAAATGAAGGTTTGGCAGCTTTATTCGCAACTATAGTATCTCTAAATACCAAGAAAAGGAAAATTATGCTGTTATTATGCATTCGCACTTTTCAGAGTTTAATTACAACGGCAAAACTTTAAGCTATGTCACGGTAGATAATGGTGCATGCGCTACAACAAAACTGAGGCAAAATTTACAAGTCACTACATTCTTAAGCGCATTTTTAGGCAGTTTGCTATCAATGACAATGATGTATCGGCTGGGAAAAGCAACACAAAGTGCCATTCTATTTATTTATGTCGCTATAGTCTTCGTTTTGGGAATTTAAGACGTGGAAATCGCTTGTTGAAGTAAACCTTAAATGAGACAACCAGTTGCAAAAGTACTTGAGACACTGAACCATATTTTGGTATAAATGGCCTGTCCATGATCTTGTGCGTGTGATCCCCCCTCCACACCTTATCAAAGTTGCTAGCAATACAAGACCATACTCAAAACCTGGAGGAACAACTTTGAATGGGAGGGAGAAGGGAGGTCAGTATTATATAATACAAACCTGTGACCAGGAGCGATTTGAAGCAAGAAAGGTCGTTTTTCCGTGGGAGTGTCTCATCATTTTTGCAACTGGTTGTAGCATGGGAAATAGGACTATGGGATTTCACCTAAGTCGAGATGATGGAGTATGTTTTTTTAATAGAAATAAGGAACGATTCATATCAGGTTTAATTTTTTCACCAAGGTTATTGCTAGGGACATTTAGCCATTTGAGCCGAGAGTGCCATGATCCATTGCTTTCCGTATTTTTGGCTATATCCTGTACTACGTACCTCAGCCTAAGCCTAAGTTGTTCTAAAATCTAGCTCACTTATTCCCACCTTCTCTTGTAGACTCGCAGACCAAGAGGTAAATGTTCCAAGTAGAGGGCAGAAGCACTTGATAGATCTCCCTTCAGTAGTGCACTGTTAAGTGAAAATTTTCTGTGTAGTTTTTGTAGATTAAATTTCACTTATAATTTACAGCAACATCACATTTTATTTCCATAGAGAAGCCTGGACTGCCAGTCCACCTGTGGAGGCTATTTAGGTATGTGGATGATGTTTTTGCAGCACACCTCACAGAAGAACTAGTGAAAGAACCTAACGAAAGCCATGGATGTTTATTCCTTCTTGCAAAGAGTATTGTTTGATCCACAGAAACTGATGCTCATGAATATGAAGTAGTGCATGATATGTGCCTTACGCTTGCACAAGAACCAGATAATGTACAATATCAAGGCCAGATTCCCAGAAGATATTGACCTGGAGAAGTGGGATTTCAAACTTTGTAGTAGATGGTTTAATATATATAACTGATATATATAATACTTGATTAACAGTCTACATTTATCTATTTATAAAGTAAAAAAATGACCAGAAAGCCTTAGGGTCATGTTTGAATTTAAAAATATTGAGCCTCGGCTACTGGCTTCTATTATTTTGAGAAATAAGACGAAATATGAATAGGGAATGAGTTCATCGAAACTCGCAGTTTTCAAATTTAGCGTGCCTTTACTATCAGAGCTGCTCTTCAACATTGGGAAGATTAAAAGAAACAAAATCATGGAGTTGCAAAGATCGGACCTAGTTGGCCAATACCTCAGGTCAACTACGGAAAAAACACGTGCCAATACTAATGAAGCTTGGGGTGGGGTTTTGTTTGTGGACGAGGCTTATCACCTTATACCAAGTGAAGATTTTGGCCAAGCGGCAATTGAGGAACTTATGGCCGTAATGGAGGATGGTTATCCCATCATGATATTTGCTGGATATGACAAGAAAATGGACAAGGTTCTTGATGTCAATCCAGGACTGAGATCTAGAATTTACAGAAAATTCGTCTTCATTGAATATTCCACCGATGAAGTTCAACAAATCTTTTACCTCTAAACAAATGAAAAAGGATTCACAATCAACCAAGTTGACAGTAAACGAATCCTAGGGGCTAATGGAAACAAAAGAGGAGGATGTTGTGGCTGCCTGTACACTTTTGCCAATGTGCTTGGGTAATAAGTGAGACATACAGAAAAACTACTTTTGTTGCTGGTGCATGTTTATGTAATGCAGAGTTGCCAATTTCAAGGGAAGAAGAAAGAAGAGGGAATCAAAAGGAATAGGCTTACATGCACTTGTTTATCATTCATGTTATGCATCTTAGTACACAAATTAAAGGTAAAATCATCGTCAGAGAAGAATGTTGAAAATGAGCTTCCTGAGCAGAAAAGTTACATATTTCCTGTACATTTCCTCAAGACTAAGTATGTTTTATAGCATCATTGGTCACAGCTATTGCATATCCATGATGTAGCTTTTGGAGGGCAGCTCTCCTAATTGGTACATGACCTAAACAAAAGATAATTAAAACTCATTTTTACTTCAAAAATACATATTACCTATGACAGAACAATGTCATTCACTAGCTAATGATAATTAAATAAAAGATATACAGATTTCATTATTGTGGGCTGTTTGTGCAAATTTCTGGTCAGTGAAGATCCTGGAACAGATGTTGCAATAAAGCATTGCTGAGCAGAAAAAATATACCGTAAAATTCCGAAAATAAGCCCCTCCATGTATAAGCCCTTCCAAATATAAGCCCCCCAAACTCGTAACACAAAAAACCCTCTGTTAAAACGCCCCTCCAAATATAAGCCTCTTCGGGGGCTTGTACTTGGAAATTGCCCTCAAATACAAGGTAAAACAAAGAAAAACGGTAAATTTCCTTCCAACAGGGTGTCCAGTTCCTATTTTTTCTTATTTTTTGAGCCTATTCCTATTTTCTCCTATTTTTTAACTAAAACCTCCTATTTTTCCTATTTTTTAGCTTGTGAAGCCAAAATTTGTAACAAAATTGAATATGGAATTATAGTTGTGTTTGTTTTAGAGTGAGATTTATCATAAAGCAAGTAGTATGTTGACCTTGATGTTCTAATATTAGCAAAACTAATAGTTACATTTGTTCTTTTCATGACCTACCGGTATAACATAAGGCTTTCATGGTTGTGGTAAAACGTGAGATAATGGTAGCCTGAATTTCAGATGTTTCTTTCAGAAGAATGTGACTCAAAGGGACTTTACAGTCACAAATATCCTAATTTTCACTCTCTAAGCTCAGATGATTTGCTACTCTTCTTAAAACAACTTTGCCCCCTTGTCTTTCTCGACAATGAAAAACACGGGCAAGAATAGCATTATGGAATCCCAATACACTAATTGACGTGAATTATCATTTTAATCAATGCTGATGATTTATAATTATTGGTACAAGACTCTGGTACAAGAAGTTTTTACAAAATCCAGAGGCCGCCTGTCCCACTGTCCATCTCTTATGCATTACTTCACTGCCACCCTGTGGGCTACCTGTGGCTTACCCTATGGGCCACCCTATATTTAGGCCAGCAATTAAAATTTAATCAACATCCGAAATAGATCAAGTTAAACAGAAATAAAAATAACATAGGCCAGGAAAAATGAAGATAAGAAAAGAAAAGAACAGAATGTTCATGGCCCTTGTGTGGCCCGACATAATGGCCATACATTTTTCTTATACCAAAACTCTGTTAATGGGGTCATCTATTAATACAGCCAATGGCCACATTTTAAAATCCCAAACAGTACAATCCCGTATAATTTTACCCCACTAATACAGCCACTCGTTTGAGATTTGCTTGTGACATGTCAATTTTAAAATCTAGTAATCTAAGCATATTCAAGTGCTGTTTTTGGGACTACAGTACACTTAAAATGCACTTGTGGTGGTTTACAGCTGAATTTTAAGAGTTTCGTGTACTCAACGAAATTAAGAACTTTTTTCAATCATTTGTATGCAATATCCACATCCTGGTTGTTTATTAATGAGAACATTACAGTGAATGCAATGTGCAGTGTACTCCTGGTGTATTTGTCATTACAACCCTCAAGTCATGAAATTTGACCCTACTCTGGTAATGAGACCACCCCGTTAATACGGCCAAATTTTTCGCCCATTAATGACTGTATTAAAAGTGATTCACTGTAATAACATGCCAGGCCTTTTTCAAAAATTCACATAATACATAGAGAAATGATAGAAACAAGAGAAAAGCTAAATTGACAACCATATACTAAAAGCAATTTTATAAATAATAAGATTAATATTGCAATTGCTCAAATAATCGAAATTGTGCATCGTGTATTGTTCTGATCAATGGCTGTAAGGGATATTTCAACAACTGCAACAGCATTTTACTTCACTGCTTCACAAACCTCCATGGTAGTTGAAGAGATTCGAAAGAAGCGACACTATAGTCTTGCCTGTACCTACAATAGCTGTTACAACAATCAATGTTGATGGCCTTCTAGAGACCAATGAAGTTGAGGATGTCACTCATAACACTCAAGACAAAAAGCAACCCGCAGAAAAGTCTGCCACAAACAAGTTCAAGCCTCCGATTGGCGCACTGCCCAAAAGGAGCACAAAGAAATCAAATCCATAGAAAGAATAATAAAGGAGACATGCTAGAGAAATGAAGGAGTCCATGTCAATGATGGTACTTGTACTAGGACGCAAGATACAAGACGTGGGACAACACTGCGGCCAATAAAGATCTTACGAGGCAAATCAGCTCAATTCGGAACAAAGTGGAGCGTCAGTCAACTCTCTGGTAAAATTACACCGCAGACGAACCAAGGGAACACATCCTTAAATTCACCGTTTGGTTGTTCATGACCTGTTAATAAATGTTAATGAACTTTTTCAATACAATGTCTATCTTTCACAGATAATCAGCATCTCGTAAAGTCTATTCTATAGACAATGTAAAGAAGTAGACGACACGCACGTTTTCAAGGTATGATATAAAACTAGCAGCAGCCATTGGCCAGCAGGTGTGTGTGAAACCACTTTCATATCTAGGTGAATGCCTTTCACTGCGGGTCATGAAAACTGGATTGAACAACACTGTAAGGACCTTCGAGGCCATCAACTATTCATACCATGCATATTACTCAGTAAAACACAGGAATGTGAAAAGAGCAAGAAAAACTCCAGCTATATATACACTTCAAAGAGTGCCACTGACGAAGAATAGGTGGCGGGCTCCTTTTGTCTTCCGCAATTAAACTTCTTTAAGAATATCTCCACCAGTTCCTTTTGACAATCAAGTCCAAAATTTTTGCATTGAATTATTGCTGTTGATAATTCTTAAGTGATCTATTTGTAAGAACCCAACTGCCTGGTATCTCGGGTATTAATTATTAACAATTGAAAACAAACATTTAGGTATTTTACAGGGAAGCTGACTAGACAAAATCACGTTTCCTGTTGTTTATGGAAAATGCATTAACGGAGAATCACAGTCAAAATTCCCAAACTTCCACATGTTACTGTAGGGCAAGAAATCGAGTGATGGATGATTCTTTGAGTGGTATTCAACTCTGATATCAATTCAAAACCATACAAATGGAAGGCTTTGGAGGAAACATTTTGTGATGTATTTTATAACCTGTTTTTTCTTATTAGATATTAACATGCAAGATATCGAAGAGGTAGTGAACATGGCAGGGACAGAAGCTATCCAGCAGAAATTGCATAAATGTGTTGGAAACAGACTTAATGCAAATTTTTTTCATTGCACGTGCAGAACAGAATGCCATTGTTAAGGAGATTGTTAAGACTGCTCTGAGTGCACTATTTGTCAATATTTGTCATACAGCCAGCGGTTGTTGTGAGTCCTTGTTGTGAATCAGTACTTGGCTGTGAAAGATGCATTGAAACTTGGACATCCGGCCATTCAGGTTGTTCAAAATGTCGAGTGAAAATGTTATACACAGCACAAAATTTCTAATTTATGCATATTTTCTACTTCCGTAAAAATGCGTAAATGTCGTGAGATTTCTTTACGAACAAATTAAGAGTTGCATAAAGAAGCGTAAACATGAAAACCACGTAAACACTTCATAAAGGGCGTTAAAGGAGCGTAAATTACAACTTTAAAAATTGACTTGATTTAGTTTAAATTATTTAGAACTTGTGAATGAAGTATTACTTTCAGGTCTCTCGTTGTCTTCCGTCAGTGTCAGATAAGGTCATGATATGAATATTTATAATTCTTGAAGTTTCTTTATGCATCTTTACGCATCGTTCTTTCTGCCTCTTTCCCCTTCTTTACGGGTCTATAAAGAGGAATTCACTTATTCACTTTTAATCTTAAGTTAGAGACAATGGTAATTAATTTAATTCCCACATGGAATTCCGGACAGACAACAGTAGATCTGTTGGTTGACTCATTAGTGGTGGTTGAATTTAAAAAATTATTCTTGTAGAAGTAAAATGCGATTGAACATGCATGGTTTAGTCTACTAAAAAGGTTTCTTGTAAGAAATGTCTCCAGCAAAATTTTCACAGGGATTTTAGCAAAAAATTTTATATTTTAAGGTTTCTAAGTAGAAGAACTAGGTTTCCCACCCTAAGTGGAAAAAAGGTTTGTGTGTAGATGCAGCTTAATTTCAAAGTCCATCCTCGATACTTCTATTTTTCTCTATACCGTGGCGTTGCCTGGACGTTTTCTAAAACACCCATAAAGTTTTCCGTTCGTAATAATCAGCCAAAACTATCGAAAACTATATCTATATCATGTATCATACATATCATGTTATCCAAAATTTCAAATTTACAGATAATCAACACAGCTACCAGAAGCTTTTACACTTTATTTTTTCATGGATTTATAACGCACTAAGCTTGTCACTATTGAAATCCAAAAAACAGTATTTAAATTAACTTAGTTTGTGACATGTAACACGTATTACTTTATTTCACAGTCGTGTCTCTCTTCTCAGAACTTTAAAACTTAGACTTGACATATACCATGACTTACTCTTTTAAAGCATTGGTTCCAGTTTTGCGACTACCCACTGAAAAAATACGTTGCATGTGTAACATTTACTAAGTCCTAGTGAACGCATATATTTCTACGAAAATGTATGATTCAAGGCAATGATAACAACTTTATCCTCATATGAAGCTGCTACAGCGAATTTGCAATAGATTCTTGCCACTGGGTCCCAAATTTACAATGTCAGTAATGGTCTCTGCACTGTCGGTGATACTACATGACAAAAGTGGAAGAAAGTGTTCCTCGAACTCTTTTGCAAGAGTAGAGCAGGAAATGAAGTGGTCTAATAGACGCTTTCTCATCAGCTGTATTCAAAGCACCGGTTATTCTTAAAGCTGCTTAGAATGCCATTGAACCGTTCAAAACTAAAGCACCAGAAATTGTAAACTGGTCCATAGTCTAGAACACATTCCTTTAGATGTCCATGGAGATGCATGTTTGGTTTAACTTTAGATTTACCATGCAGGCGTTCAAACTTTTGGCAAAACAGTAACAACATCAAATCTGCTTTTTGCAGTTCCACCAAAGTTATTACAGGCCTTGACAGAAACTTGCAAGCTAACACAAATGCCTGCCAACACTGCAAGTGCTCCTTTGGTAGAAGCCCGTCTTAAACAAATAGAGAATATATAAGCGTCCAGTTTTTCCATTGGGATGCTGTATAACAGCCATAGTTTGCTGATATCTTGTGTGTCAGCCTTCCCAGCCCTGTTCCAACATCAAATTCTCGTATACGCTCCTCTAGTTTCTTAATGTCTCCTTTCTCGAGGAGACCTTCTGCCATCCATAACTTGTACACTGATTTTGCTGTTCCTAGGAACAAGTTGTGCATTGGATCAATGATGGTAAATCTCACACTGTCAAAGTAACTCTATTCAAGAAGAACGCTGTAATACAGACCATACCTCTTACTTAATCTGTCACGTTCGGCTTTGGTTTTAGCCCTCAACAGCTCTCTTGCACGTCGTTTATGTGATCGCATGTCTTGCTTTGGCCATTCCTCCATCTTAAATCCAGAAAAGTCAAATGAATCCTTTACATTTTCAGGAAAAAACTTGAAGCATTTTGAGCAGCCATAATGAGAGCTATGGCTATTGAAGCCATAAAGTTTCCTTGCAGCAGGAACATCACAAGAAATGCACGCAATTGCAGCTCTGAAATGCAGTGGTAAACGGCATACACTTGACTTTAGATACACACCATTCCAAAGAACATTCATTTCTTTCACAAGTGGTACCAGAAATTCATTTAGAGAACCTCATTCTTTATCCAAACCTGGGGTAATACCAACAACAATGATATTCTCCCATTTAAATCGAATACTTCTAGGCAGATGAAGGCTAGCCAGGTACAGTCAACTCTCTCTAAGACGGACACCATCGGGAACGGCCTCAGCTGTTCATCTTAGAGAGGTATCCGACTTATACAGAGTCGACATAACATGACCCCAGGAATTTTACGATAATAATGCTGAACCTGTGCACAGTGAATACGCGTCTGTTTAAACTTTGTTTTAAGTTATTTACTTGAACGAAACCTCCAAACTGGAACAAAAACATATTTGTAAAATTGAATATCTTGTCGTATTACAATCAATAGTTAATGGGTTAACTAGAGTCCAAACAGCGAACAGTACATTCTGTTCCAGGTGAACCGTCCAGTGAGGTTCTTTTATGTATTCTCATATGCAAAGATCCATGTCATTATAAAGCAGTAGCTATAGTGATCAGGATTTACTTACTATGACTAAAACCAAAATTACTTATCTGGGACACTTTTGTTATAAACTCACATAAATTATTAAGCTTATACAACGTGTTTCGTTTATCACTTGCCCCACTACAGTCTCTAATTAAGATATATTTTATACAAACTGATGAAGTAACACAAGCTAAACATTATAAAGAAAGTACCGAAAAAACCTTGAAGTTCTGACAAGCTTTCTTCCAAAAGGTCACCATCAAACAAAATATGGTCTTGATCTATGAGCAAAGTTGCCCCACAAGTCTTGGCTGAGTTGACGAGTTGCAATGTTCGAGATGAATGATTGTAATATCGCTTTTTGTGTTTATAAAATGTTGATTTTCCAAGATATTCCTTGCAGTGTCCACAAAAATAACGTGTCTTTTGACGTGATGGTAAAGTTTTTCAAAACAAAAAGGTCAAAAACTTTTGTAAATTTGCGTTGTAAGCAAATCATCGCTGTTCACGTGCAGAGTTGAGAGATACGTTCGGACAAGATCGGTTATTCTTCGGATGAGTTCAACATACTTTCGTTATCATGTGACCTTAACAGACCAATCAACAGATGAGAAAGAAGAGCATCATTTAGGCACAAATTTTGGCGTCGTTTTGGGTCAGTGCGAAGTTTCGATCACAGCATGCACGTTTTGATATATTTTCTCCGTATAAATTTCACTTTCAAATGCCAAGAAATTCAGAAGATGTTAACCTAGGTGACAGATATGCCATACTCCTTGATGAATCACTTAAGGAGAACCAAGCCTTGAGAGAGGAACTGAAGGAACGAGAAGAGCAGAACAGCACCAAGATAGAACAACTGACATCTAAAAAGGATTCTTTGTGCCATCTTCTGGAGCAGGAGCAAACCAAAGGAAGCGACAAGAAATCAAACCATAAATCAGCGAAAGTCCACGTACCTACAAGGTGTCCCGTAAGTAGCAGTTTTTCGTTTTCCGTAGGGCTTACTAGGGCCATTTAAACATAGGACGCTTCTTTTGTAACACACGTGTTATTTTTCCCTTTGAGAAATCATTACCAGAGGGCGTCTGTGTCAATAGAGAGATATGTAGTCACATTAACTGCAAACGTCAGATTAAGTTGAGAAATTTTAAGTAACTTTGTAGAAACTGATAAAAGGAAAGCAGCTCAAAACAATTTTTATGGATAAAACTGTCGTGAATCTCCTGATTTCCGTGCAGTTTTGATGTAACCGACAACTAACAAGTTACGTGATACATTTTGCTGTAAAAACGACACTGAGGTGCCGGCCCTTTGACTTTTGAGTAAAAAATTTTATGTAGTGGTGTAAGTTAAGATAATATGAGCGGCTGGAACTACAACCTTCTTTAATAACTTTAATAAGGTTGTTGTAAAACCCGTGTCAAAACTATTATTTTGAAGCCCTCTGTTCATACTGATTTTTTTGTGTGATGTGATTTATTAAAATAATGAAACTAGTATTAACTAGTGGTTAAGAAGTCTAGGCACTAACAATAGATAGCCAAAATTCTCTTACTCCATTGCTGTGTGCTATTCATAAGTACATTGTGCCAGCATCCTCATGAAACACTTGTGGAATACCTCCAAGCTCTGAAAACATGCATTTATCAATCTACGGTACATGCTTAATAATGACCTGGGCCCAGTTGTTCGAAGGCTAATCAGCGCTTAACCCGGGGTTAATTTAACCCAGGTTTCTTTTTCTTGTGTTCAAAAGCTTTTCTCAGATACTTTTTATCTGATATTTTTAGAGCTTCCAATCGTCAACTTGTAGACAGAAAAAATTAAAACTGAAATGCTTTTTAAGCTTTCAAATCTTAATTCAAATCTCGCACTAACCCTGGGTTATCTTAACCCACCTTTGAACAAGTCGGCCCTGGAGATAAGGATTGCCAGCTCCTCTTGTCACCCTCAGTTGGTATTAAGGGCTAAGGGAAACATCTTAAGACTGCAAACGCTTACAATACTTAATCGTTTTCTTTTACTTGTGTGTTTCATACTGAATTTCACAAGATGTACAAATCATTGATGGACGACAATGCAGATTTTCAAGGATTCTATCTGGAGGAAAGGTAAAGTAACTAACACAGTAGCTTGCTTGTTTTTCATCTGTTGTATTTACTGCTTTCTTCAACCTTAGATGGCTTATTACACCATGTTTGTAGTTAACATTGGCCAATTTTTTTCTCTGACCTCACAGCTGTTTCCTTTTGTTTTGTAGTGCCAACTCAACAAAAAACAAAGATGTTTTTTCATTCGTTGTTGATGCAATAAGTTATGACCATGGTGGAAGTGAACAGTGTCCTTGGTCACCTGCACAATTAAGAGGTATGTGCATGATCTAGTTTGGAAATTACTTGCTTTTTATTTAAAGCAAGGACGATAAACAAGTCATTCAGCACACTATTATTATTGCATTTTAAGCTGTCTCAAGCTGTTTGCTTCATAACGATTATTATTCCTTCAAATTTATAGTGCTAAATCTTGTCTGTTCTCAAAGGAAAGACGTTATATTGATGAATTATTTTACACAAAATGTTGAAGGGTTTTTACATACAAGAGTCTTCAGCACCAATCAGTTTAGTAAAGTAGCAATAGAGGTCTCATTTTTCTCTTTAATTTCAGCATCATATGTTACATACTTGAGAAGCCTCAAGGACACAAGGAAAAGAAGAGTGAAGGTGGACCACAATACTGTCTGCAGACGACAAGGAGGAGTAAGAGAGGTAATAAAACCTTTGTTATAGTTTTATCCATATTCTGTAAGTCTAGGATTTGTTGTAAATGAAAGATTTCTTAATAGGATGCAACTAAACCCTCATTTTATTATTTTTATGTATGGTAGTTGATATCATCATTAAGAATCTTCGATTTTTTGTGTATTTTTAAATGTAAATATTCAATGCACACAGCATAAGCTCTATAGATGAGCCCACTGTGCTCTAAGAGAAATGTTGACATAAAAATTAATTGATTATATATATCTTTTTTATTTTTTAGAAAATGGTGCGACCAGCGTGATGTGTTGCACGCGTTGATGTTTTGGGAGACTGGTAACGAGTAATGGCGGCCGAATACACGACCATGCGATAAAATGAGTTGTAGTCTAATTCCTTTGAAATTACATCCAAAACGCTTTTGGAAGAAAGGAAACCTGGTTAAAATCAAAAGGAACAATCTTAAGTGATATATTTCGAGTTATTTATGTCCTAGAAATCATCTACCAGGTCGGTAAGAAGCAATATTCAAACTCGTGTCGAAAACAAAATGATTGCGGATCAGGTTACTTTGTGGTGGTGCAGTGTGTTTTAATGTTGCGAGATCACTGAAATAAATGGAAACAGAAGTACACAAGCTGCTGATGGAAACCATTGCGTACTAACCATAGATGGCCTCATTCTTCTACTTTAATGGTCTTTCTTCGTGAAAATAAACTTTTCCAGAGGGGTTGGGGGGTCTTTGTCACACTTGTGGAAATTCCGAGGGGGTGAGGGGTCATCAGTTCCCTGCAAAAATGGAAAATCCAGGGAGGTGGGGAGGTCCTCAGTGAAATTCCCTCCGCGGTGGGGGTCTGGATATTTTCTGGAACTACACATTCAGGAAGACCTGCCAGGTCACATTGAGTGACCATTTTAATACGGTTGATTTCCACGAAGCTCAATGTTATCTAAGATGTTTTTCACTTATACGACTTAACAGTGGTTTGAGAATAGAAGATCAACTTTTTGTCTGAAATACGCCTGACGCATTTAGAAAGAAGTTTAAACCAAATAAGTGATTATTGTTTCTACAATATAGTGCCAACAACAACCAAACCAACATTTAAAATAATAATGACGTCATAAATATTTCATCGCTGGACGGTGGTTACTGGGGAAGAGCAACAAGGTGCACAGAAAGGCGACTGGAGTTGAGAGAAGCCATGTTTGTTTCACTGCTTGCTACCAAGTGTTAAACATTGGACTATGGACTTGATGATCAAGGTATGTACAGAAGATCTATCTTTCGCTTTCTTAACACTCTGAAACAGCAAAAATTATTTTCAGCATTTGTTCATATCCATGTTTTCGATTTAAAATGAACAGATTAATTGCTAAATAATACCGAGTTGAAGTGTGGTCGAAATGACCTGTTGTTTCGAAACAACAGCATGCATTCTTGGGTAAGATTTCCCATCCATGCTGAGCTTCTTTTTGTAGTGTTTTTGTATTCGAAGCTTGCTTTTTTCAGAAGAAGGACCTCTATGATTCTAGACAACACACTGCTTTACCATGTGTGCTTTACGCTATTTGCTTTGTAAGTGGTACATAAGCTTATCACCTGTTCTTGTCAAATAGCCCCATTTATCTACTTTCATTTGCTATTTTATTATATTTGCTGCCTGAGATGTGTTCTCTACCTTCATGTTTGTTAATTTTTTGTACACATTATTTTAACTCCAGGTGTGTGCTTCAGGTGTCCTCACTTCAACTTCTTCAGGCATATCAACAACATCATTTTATGGGACAAGGGGTACAGCCCAGCACGAAAAAAGTTATTGAACCTAATTTTGATGAAAGTGACAGGAAGAGTAATTGTGACGAAGATGAAATAGCCAACATTGAAGATGCAAGTGAATATGAAGAGTCCAGTGATGACTCAAATGAGAGTGATATTGACCTGAATGGTAACAACGCTGAAAGTGCTGATGATAATAGCATGCCTACAGGAAAATCTGGTAGTAATCAAGTACATAGTCAAAATATGCGATGGCGCAAGCCTGTTCATTATGATGTAACATTTAAAGGAGAGCCTTTCCCTCCACCACCATTAGAAGAGTACACACCTTTACATTATTTTAAGCAGTTTTTTGACGATGCCCTGATAGATCACCGTGTTGAACAGACAATTATGTAGAGTACAACAGCTACATGGGAGGCATTGATTTGTGTGACATGCTGCTATCTGCGTACTGTATTCACCACCGCTCTACGAAGTATTACATGCAGTGTGTTTTATTGCATTGGGGTGGCTGTTGTCAATGGCTGGCTGTTCTATAGGAGGCGCATGGGTCAGAAAGATGTGCCAGCATATCATCATTTATCCCTGCTGAAGTTCCAGGCTGACATAGCTAGTCCACATTACCAAAGCTGGAAAAGTTTGTGGGGAAGCTTCAAGACCAAGAGGGCATCCATCTGGCAGTCCAACGAGTGCTAATGCTGTACCTTTCAAAAAAACAAAAGGCAGCGTCAGTGCCCATTCCTATGCAAGATGTTCAATTCAATCAAGTTGGACACTTTCCCCAGTTTCAAGAGAAACAATAGCATTGTCGTCAGTGCAAAAGTGGATATTCACACATAAGATGTCAAACGTGTGGAGTGCGTCTTTGCTTGATTAAAGCAACAAACTGTTTCAACGACTTTCACTGAGTGTAAAAGAATCTTTTTATTCTATTTCAGTTATTCTGAAAGTATTTATCTTGGACTTACATGCAAGGAAAATGTACTGCAATAAATACAAGTGAAGCTGCTGAGTCAGCATTTTTAGAACTTTGGAAAGAGTGTTTGTATAGCAAGACACATGTTCTGTTTTCTTCTGTTGTTGTCGTCGTTAAATAATTATAGTGTTAGCATTGGCAGAGTGCTAGTCACTATCTTTTCTCAAAACTGAAAACCGTCCAAATCATACCAGATACGAGCAAAGTTGATGTTTATTAAGAACATGCATGTACACTGAGTATGTCAAAAGGTGAACCATGTACATCTGTTTGGTTAGGAGATCAAATTGCTTGATGCAAAGATCATATTGTGCAATCAAATTTTATGATTTGTTTACTGATTTTTAACAATTTGTTTTCTTGGACTTCAAAACAAGATAAAATTCCACTATTTCATAACAGCTAAAGCAATATTAATAATAACTCTGATGCTGCCAAGTCAGTATTTTTGATAAATCGTGCCATCGTCATGTTGTATGCTATGGTTTTTACCACAATTTTTAACTCTAATTAAAAGTTAGGAGTAAAAACACTTGTTGATATTTTAGCATAAAATAAAGGTTAATGTTGGCAAGCAACAACTATTGAGCCTGCATCGCTACTGCGGTTTATCCCAAACACGCAATCTCCTTATTTGGCAGCCTGCCTCTTTGTCTTATTCTGCGCCAGTCCGTTCAATCGCCACTTTCTTTGAAGGCTGCAAGTTGAGCAGCACCAAAGTTTTTTCAGCACCAAAGTTTTTCATGGATCTTTCCGGCGTTACGAACGAGGTCCTTTGCCTTTACTGGCCCAAAACCAGCTTGCTATCTCGAACACGCGAACAGATGATCGAACGCCTGGGCACGATCAATGTTGATGCGCCAACATCACGCACACGAAGCTCCGATTCCGCCCGACCCAGCAGCCAAAAGGCCTCGTGACGAACACCGATCCTCCTCCTGTCGCCCCTAACCTACCCGGTGACGTTGAGCAGCCCAACGAGGAAGGCAATTTACGGCGCTCGGAATGATGAACAAGATCCGCCGCAGGCTGAGAGACTTCAAAGACGCAATACCGAACTAAACACGTGCGGCACAAGATGGCGTCGCGACAGGGGCGTTCCGCCTAACCCGTCTCAAATCCAGCGGCTCTAGCCACCCTCATCGCCACCATAGTCGATGAAAAGCTAAAAAATTTCGCATCAACGAACCCATCACCCGTACCACAACAGCCAGCACATTCAGTTCCCCAACCTCCAGCGTGACAACAACTATCTGACCCTGCTTTCGTCGCGAGCCTTCTTTCACAATCGGGTTCCTCGAACTACGGCCCATCTCAGTCCCGAATGCAGCCAGCTTCCTCATCCATCGCAGCCCACGTCCCCCAGAAGACTCGGCAACTAATCCTACGCGGTGAGTTTGTTGAATTCGATTCTTTGCTGCCAGAAAACTCCTGCCTAAACGAAAGCGAACTCCACGGGGTGTCCATTTCGTTCGAGGGGAAACAAGTTAATATTCCCACCCCTGCCCGCAAGAAGAAAACCCACATTGACTCAATCGATAGGTGGCTTTCGGCCTTTGCTGTTTTTTTGTACAATCTTTCTGACTTCCTTCCCCACAGGGCTGTCGAGATGTTTGCTTACCAAGAGATCATCCGCTCGGCCTACCGTAAGTTCGCTTGGGATTTGCATGGCTCTCCCACGATATAGACTTTCGTGGGAAAGCAGCCGCCCACCATTCCCTTAATTGGGGGAAAGGGATATACAATTGTACCTCCTGAAATTTACAGGGCAGGCAAAATCCTCTTGCACCATATGTGGTAGTGGGGATCATTTTTCTCATGGGTGTTCCCTCTCTGCCCTTAGGCCCAATCCTACCCAACGAGGAACGTGTAACAATTACAACAGAGGTGCCAAATGCAGCCAGGACCCCTGCTCCTTCAGCCACCGCTGCAGGGTCTGCAATGGAGAACACCCTGCCTACCGACACGATGACACCCCTTCAAAAACTAGAGGCCAGGGTGATAAGAAACTCTCGAACCGCTAAAGCTGCCATATCATACAAACCCCAAACCCCGGTGAATGTTCCCCTGCTACACAAACTTCTTAAGACTCACTCTAATCAAGCTTTTGTAACTAGACTTTGCGATGGGTTAAGCCATGGTTTCCACTTGGGTTACAAAGGTAACCGCTTCCCCAGAGCTGCCAAGAATCTCTCATCTGCCATCCAACAACCCCAAGTTATTGAGAAAAACCTGCTAGAGGAAGTCCAGCTTGGTCGCCTGGCTGGCCCCTTTGAATCCACCCCTTTTCAAAATTTTCAAATTCATCCCCTCGGCCTAGTCCCCAAAAAGGGAAGCCAAAAGTGGCGCACTATTTTCCACCTATCCTACCCCAAGGGGTCCCCGGATAGCTTAAATGCTAACATACCCATTGAGGATTACACCCTTCAGTATATTCGGATTGACGATGCCATTGCCCTGGTCCTCAACCACGGCCCCGGGTGCTTTATGACAAAAACTGACATACAGTCCGCTTTTGAATTATCCCCGTTCACCCCGGGATTGGGAACTCTTGGGATGTCCTGGAAGGGTCGTTATTACCCGACAAAGCCCTCCCCTTCGGGCTAAGGAGTGCCCCTTTTCTCTTTAATCAACTCGCTGATGCCCTGGAATGGTTGGTCAGACAACACCTGAACATCCCCTCCATCATACACATTCTCGACGATTTTTTCATTGTTCAACCTGCCCCCTCGTCCCTTTGTGCCACAGCCCTCTGCGGGTTCTTACCCTCTTTGAGGAATTAAACATTCCCCTTGCCCCACAGAAAACTTTTCGCCCCACCCAAGTTCTTGAATTCATGGGAATAACACTCGATTCCGTAAACATGCAGGCTCGTCTCCCGAGGATAAGTTAAGTAATGCCCGGTCCCTGCTAGCGGACTGGTCTTCCAAACGGGTCTGTCGTCTACAGGACCTGCAGTCCCTCATTGGGACTCTGCAGTTCGCCTGCCGGGTTATTTCCCCTGGTCGCCCCTTTCATGCAGCGCATCATTAACCTTACCGGGGTTGGGTCCGCCCCAAGCGGATTATTTTTCTCACCCAGGAGTTCAGAAAGGACATCCTCATGTGGCAATTTTTCCTCGACCACTGGAATGGTGTTAGCCTTTTTCTGCCCCCTTACACAGAATCATCCCCACAAATCCATTTATATACAGACGCAGCGGGTGCAGTCGGATACGGGGCCTTCTTTGACAATCAGTGGTTCCAGGGAAAATGGCTCCCCTCCCACCAGCTCAACCCCTCCACAGGGATAAGTATTACCTGGCAAGAGCTTTACCCAATTTACCTTGCCTGCATGATTTGGGGGCCCCATTGGGCTAACAGGAGAATTTGTTTCCATTGTGACAACCAGGCAGTCGTCGCACTTCTGTCTGCTAAAAGCTCAAAAATTCCCCGCATCATGAACCTTGTCCGTTTGATCACCTTTCAAACTTTGAAGTTTAATTTTACCTTTACCGCAAAGCACGTCCCAGGGGTCGACAACGGCATAGCTGATAGTTTATCTCGCTTTCAGATGCCCCGGTTCCACCAACTCGCACCTGATGCATCGCCCGTTCCCTGTCCAATCCCTCCTTTCCTGACGAAAGTCTAACTATGCAGGCTGCTCACTACATTTTCCAGCCCATCGCCAGCTCTACTCGTCGAACCTATTCCTCTGGGGAGCGACACTTTATTAGATTTTGCCTTTTTCATAAACTCATTTCACCCCAAACCCCTTTTCTCCCTACCAGTGAATCAACCTTAATTCATTTCGTCACCCACTTATCCAATACCGTTTCGTATGGCACTATTAAAGTTTATCTGGCAGCAGTTACGAATCTCCATGTTGAGTTTGGCTGTCCCCTGGACTTCTCCTCCATGCCCTTCCTATACAAGACCCTTCGAGGGATCAAATCCTCCCTCGGTATTGCCAAACGGGCCCGGTTCCCTATTACTATTTCGATCCTCCGCCAAATTTATGCCAAACTAAAACCCTTCCAATCGTTGGACACAGATTCTTCAATGTTGTGGGCTGCTTTTACCCTTGCGTTCTTTGGCTTTCTACGTAGTAGCGAATTCACTTACAACGGCAAGTTCAATATTCAATCCCACCTGACAAGATCGGACGTCCACTTTTACCCCAACATTGTCCAACCTGTGTCTTTCGAGGTTGTCATCAAGAAGTCCAAAACAGACCCTTTCCGTGAGACAGCCAAGCTCACTATCGCCAAATCAAACTCTACTGTATGTGCAGTCACCGCGTTAAGAGACTACCTGCTTCAAACTAATCCCAGTGGAGCTACCCAGCCCCTCTTCCAATTCTCGGATGGACGACATCTTACTCGGTCCTCCCTCACCAACAACTTACGGGCTCTTCTCAAGGTTTGTGGATTGGATAGTACCTGCTATGCATCACACAGTTTCCGCATTGGAGCAGCCACTACTGCGGGGGCTGCTGGCCTTCCAGACTGGCTCATTAAAGTTCTTGGCCGTTGGAAATCTGATGCATATCAGTCGTACATCAGGACACCCAAAGAAACCATTTTCCAAGTCCCTCAAAATTTGGCCTCCTGTCTATCCAGTTAATGACTTGAAAACAATTAGATGTCACATCGCAATGACTATTGTCCACGCTTCCTTGGCTTTGGGAACACTGTTATGCTGCTCTATACTGTTTATCACGAACATTCTTATGTTGCGTAAAAAAAAAAAAAAAAAACCAAACAACATGGGAACACTACGGTGTCTCTTTGTATTGTTTATTGAGAACACTATGATGTCTCATTGTAACACAATTGAGAACACTGTGTCCTACTAGAACATTCTTTAAGTCATGCTACCCAAGTTTAATTTCGGTTGGGTTCTTAAGTTAGAACGTGATCATACCCGCTTGTCCACTCCTCAATCCCCTTTCTCCACCGATGGTCTCTGGTTCATTTCATTCCCCCGTGGAGCGGATAAGAGCTGTATCCAGCCCTCGCGACCAGGTGGAGAAAGGGTCTTAGAGACTGGGGCTTTACACAGGGCACTTCTCGTATTACTCGGCGTTTTGGGCGGGGAATTGCTGCCTGCGGCACCCCTTCAGCCCTGTGCTGAAGCCTCGTCAGGGAGGGGGGGCTATAGGATTTGCTGGACTTGGTTAACTTGGCCCAAGGACATTGTGCCGGCCATGCGTTTTCACGCGTGAACTATGCCCCCCCTCGGTATGGCGCCATGTACCGAGGCCCCTCATTCGGTCATCATCCGGTCGGTGGGTTTTATCCGAGCCTTGCGGGTATATTCCCTGCCCAACTTTGCCCACCAAAGAATATTGTGTTTTCTCTGCGTCTGCGCGCTGTAACATTAATTGATATTTTAGCATAAAATAAAGGTTAATGTTGGCTAGCAACAACTATTGAGCCTGCATCGCTACTGCGGTTTATCCCAAACACGCGATCTCCTTATTTGGCAGCCTGCCTCTTTGTCTTATTCTGCGCCAGTCCGTTCAATCGCCACTTTCTTTGAAGGCTGCAAGTTGAGCAGCACCAAAGTTTTTTCCCCTCCCACCCTCCCCTTTTCTTTGTTTCTTGCCTTCCTTAACCTTCCTACATTTGTTCACTGCATTTGCACTATCTCTTGTCTGTAGATTCAGAGACGTTTAATAAAATCATTAAGGGCGGGAAATTGCTGCATGCGGCACCCCTTCAGCCCTGTGCTGAAGCCCCGTCAGGGAGGGGGGGCTATAGGATTTGCTGGACTTGGTTAACTTGGCCCAAGGACATTATGCCGGCCATGCATTTTCACGCGTGAACTATGCCCCCCCTTGCAGTACAGGCATGAGGCACCCCCTCGGTATGGCGCCATGTACCGAGGCCCCTCATTCGGTCATCATCCGGTCGGTGGGTTTTATCCGAGCCTTGCGGGTATATTCCCTGCCCAACTTTGCCCACCAAAGAATATTGTGTTTTCTCTGCGTCTGCGCGCTGTAACATTAAATGCTTGTTTACACCATTTCTGCATGTTGTTGTTTGAGAACGTGTCATTGTGTTGCCACAACAACACGATACTGTCACTTAATTTTGTTACACTGCCATCAGCATATTTAAAGTGTCTTAGTTGGCAAGAAAAAAATTTATTTTCACTGCACCTGAAAAGTCATGACCTCTAGTTCCACTAACGAAGATAGCACACCACATAAAGTCAGATGTCTTTATTACTGGGATCCAGAGGTCATAGAACATTTTAAAGATGACAAGCAAATTAGGCGCTCCCCAACAATATAGCTGTTCCAGAAAAGGCTGTATGAAGGCATCATCAGATGTTATGAAACCTCCATGAACTATAAGCAGTGTTACTTGGTACGAGGATTGGAAGAAACAGCACCCAGGAGAACAGAGACTTATGTTGCAAGAAGTAGGTAGAAACCCAAAAGCAATCTACATTCCACTGAAAAAAAAAACAATAAGAGTTCACGGTAGGCAGATCAAGTTTACTGGAGGTACCATGAGCATAGATCCTCCCTACTAAGAGGAAATGATGTCACATGGAAAACATCAATTTTCATGTTCAAACTGGGCAAGACAGGAGAGAGATTTGAAAAATACACTTCAGCACAAGTGCAGTGGAAGTCTGACAGATACCAAGAACCGAATTGGTCTTAGTGGCTTTAACAAGCAGTACACCAGAAAGGATGAGCTGGAGGACGCCCTTGAAAAAGCAGAATATATATATCATCACAGATCTGCTCAAAAACAGTTACAAGAAGGTCAAACCAGCCCCAAGAGGGATTGAAGGCAGTTTGCTTGACTCTTGTATCGCTGGAGACAACCAAAAACTCGTCATTGACCTGGTTTGTTTAATTCAATCTAGTGTTGCAAAAAAGAATCCAGTGCAAATACTTGTTTTGTGAAACCTTGTCACAAAACTTATGAAGAACAACAATCATCACTACACATCATTGATCAAAGATCTGAGTGGACTAATTAAAAACAAACTGTGTCCAACAAATTACGCCCTTTTAGCAGAAGCTTTTGGATGAGCTCGGGCAACGACTACATCACACCACAGCTCTGAAATTCGTCTTGATACTGGAATTAATTTTCAAACCCTTGAAATGGCTTTCAGTTTATTTAAGACAGCGCAAAAATAAAAGCAGATGGGGAGCTCATACTGGTTGGTGAAGGATGGGATCTGAATGTTAAGTGTTGAGCAATGTTTCCTTCAACAATGAGCATTTCTTACAAATTCAACAAACTGCAATGGGAAAGTGTATGGCACCCTCATTCGCAAACTCATGGGCAAATTTGAACAGCCAATCGACAGCACCCCTTTCAACCCCTCATCTAGCGTAGATTCATATACAGCATCTTCATGGTTTGGACACAAGGAGAGAAAAACTTAAAACCTTCGTTGGATACTTAAATTCCATCCACTCTGACATAAAGTTTACCGAAGTTTAGTTTCGAGTTTATTTATTATATATAAAAACTATTACAACCAAATCTGACTGACCCGCAGGTAGCTAAAACTAATCGAGGCAGGTCAGTCTCACAAGATTTAAAATATTATATGATGTCAAAAAGCAAGAGATTAAAAAAAGCAAAATTTTTTCACAAGAAAAGAGAGAAATGTATAAGTAATATGGTTCCACATAAACCAAAAAAAAAGGAAAACTAATTAAAGGACAAAAAAAGAAAGAATAAAGATGATGGGTACTTGTTATATACAGAGAGAAGAGTTGTACCCATGAATATCCAGTTTCTTTGCATCAGTCACTGCCCTTCCTAGATGTTGGGGCAATTGTTTTTCCTTTTGTTTTTCGTTTTCTCACTTACTTGTTATCGTGTATTCTTTTTCTTTTCACTCTCCGGTATTTTGTTAATTACGCTCCTTTGTTACGTGCTGTATGTAAATTTCGTTATAGTTTATTATCTCGCCCTTATTTATTACCAGTTTTACGGATCTATTAGTGTAAGAACATTCGTCGCAGTAGGTTTTTTCCTCGGTGTCCCTGACCACCAACCCCGTCTTCCTCAGCATTCCGTAAGCAGCTTCGTTTTTCATTGTTTTTTCATTAATTTCATTTTGCAGTCGCTTAAAAGTAGTGTTTCTGTATTGTAACTATTATTTTTTCGCTCTTTGTAGGAATTTACTTTTTTTATGGATTGGTAATAGTAAAACATTTGCTGCTCGAGAGTTTAAGTGTTGTGTTTGGAATTGGCCCTTGCCCGTTCATTTTGTATGGAATTGGCCCTTGCCCGTTCACTAGACGTACATGTACACCTCAGCAACAACCAAATCCACACAGATCTACATACAAAACCCACTGACAAACATCAGTACGTTCTCAAGTCTTCCTGTCACCATAACCACACCAAGAAAATTATCCCATTCAGCCTCCTCATCAAAATACGACACATATGTTCCACTGACACCTTTGATCAATGGGCTCAGCTTTTACAACATATGGTTGTAAGATTAAACATGATTAAAGTGAGTCAAATTCCATGTCAACTGCCGAGGCAGCAGGCACAAGGCACGAGACTGCGCCTCAGCAAAGATTCACTGGATGGGACGGAAGGCTAAAGTAACTTGCTTGGCCAAGAAGCAGAGAGAGACTGTGACCGAATATCATTTTCACCAAAAGGTGACAAACGTTTCCTTCCACTGACCAATGCTCAGCTCTTACAAATTTGTTTCAATTGTTTTTTTTTATATGGTTGTACGATTAAACATGATTAAAATGAATCAATTCTAGGTCAGTTCCGTTAAAGCCAAAAATTTGCGATTCCACAAGCTGCCTTTATAATACACGTCCATGTATTTGTGTACCGAACCTAATGAAGTACATGAAGAGATCATCCCATGAATTAAGATCGAGTGACCCACATTGGAATATCCAATGTGGTTCTCATGTGTAGAACCTAGAGCACAGATTACTCACACAGCTGTGTGAACTTACGCGATTTTTTTATATAATATGCTGTACCTCTTAACAATGTTGCATTTTCCTTGCAAATACGGTTGCTGGACTGTCAAAGAAATGACAAGAGTACTTGAGTTATCAAGCAAATTGCACGGCCCAGCGGTTCAAAGGGCAAAAAGAGTATCTTCCCCAGCTATTACCAAGGAGAGGGTTAAACAATTAGCCCTTGGTAGGAAATTAAAAATGGGTAACAGGTGATAAAGTTTTTAATTGATTCGCTTGGAGAAAAGCCCTGGAATAAACTCAGCCATTTTCAGGGCGTTGGTAACTTCAGTTTATTCATATAGTCACAATGGCAAGCAGGTTGCAAAACCCAGGACTATGGGCTGACAAGTTACAAGCAACCTCTACCACAAGTATCAAAACACAGTGAGAAGAACAAAGCAAAGTAGAAAATTTGAAAACGATAGCAAGCACACCTACCACAACCACAGCAAAGATAAAGAAAACAGAAGAATCCATTACATTACTGAGAAATATTTTGCAACGGAACACTTGTTCAAAGCCTCTCAAATACTCTGCACGGTCAACATACTGGCATTAATATAGACATTAATTCAGATATTAAGGCCATCAAAGAGAAAGCAGAGCGAGGTTCTGTCAAAGCCCTAAGTCAGCTTGAAAGATAGTAAAAGAAACTTGATAAGGAAATGTCCACGGCAAACCATAATGGCCGTAAGGACAGCAGGACTGTAAACACATCAACTATAGAGGATCAAAATGAAATCAAAGCCCTTGCTTCCAGGCTAAAAAAAGTACAATTATTTCATGTCAAAACTTGGTAGTGACATGAAAATAAAAATTGTGAAAAAACTCATGTCTGCCACTGTTGTGAACAACAGCGTGAGTGGGTAAAACAATTAAAGGGAAGTCATTTTCTAGAAAAACACAAAGGAAAACTGCTACACGCAAAGAAAGGAGAAAAAAGTCTTCCAAGACAAAAGTCGGTTCTCAAAAGACTACAGGGGAAAATATGTATTAAGAACCTCTCACCCAAAACATTGACTGATGCACAAATTAGGTTTACCTCTCGAGGTTTAAAATATATAACAGTGAACAAATCAAACAGGAACAAAATACGATGACAGTTGTCAGGAGATTTCAAAAATTTTGCAAGGCGAATGCGCGTTTAATATGTTTCATGGAAAAAACAGGGAAGTTAAATTACAACTCGCAGAGATGAAAATAACCAACCAAAGAGAGAGAAAAAGATTTATTAAATTCTGTAGATATCCTCTCCATCTAAGGTGCTTTTGAATTCTAGAATTTGTTCTGAGAATGCGGTCGCCTTTGATGAAGCTTTTCTTGACCCAAAATGAGTGGCAAGATGAGAAGTGCTGGTATATAGAAATGTTTGAGAAGGCTTAAAATGTGTTTCTACATCCAGAATTGACGTACTTTTAAAACCTTTCCCCTTGTACACAATTGTATCCAGGAATGAAATCTTGTCTTCAGAGTTTTCCGCTGTAAGATTATTTTAACTTACATTTATTATTATTACAAATCAAGAGGCGTAGTCAGTATTTGCTCAATGCAATGCAATGCTTTTGCTCAATAGTTATGTTGGTATACAATTTGATTTTATGAGGTAAGTGCGTGGTTTGTTTGTTTTCGTTTTTTATTTTCTACGATTTTGTGTTTTTGAGGATTCCCATCCTTTGCACTTTCTGCTGGGTGATTTTACAAGTTTGCTGCTTTCTTGTACTCTGATCTGAACCAAGTATTCAGTAGATAGGTATACGTTTCACCACTTTTACCTGACATTTTGTTCAGCATACTGCTGAATTCATTGAACTTTTGTAAGGTTTCTGCTATCTACCTATTTTGATTATGTGTTGTTGTCTTTTGATTTACAGAGTTTACCACTAAAACGCGCCCTTAAATAATTTTTTCTTTGGTTCAGACCCATGTTGTGGTGCACGTCAATCAATACTCTGTTGTACCCACTGGAAGTAATTAAACGTGGGGTGCTTTCCATTTGGACAAAAGTCCCAAAATTTCGGCTTGGCAGTAAATGGAAAGTGTTTCCTCGGTTTGTTCCATTGGTAAATTCCTGGGAAAAGTGGAAAATCTAAAAAGGTAGACGAGTTTTCCCAGCTGGAACGATCCAAAAGGAATTTCATGTCCAATTTCCACCTTTCTGATACTTTATACCAGTTCCAGTTGTTACCAATTCGGCAGCCATCTTGGTGTCCTCTCCAGCAACGGGCTTGGCGCCGTACCTGGGTTTATGATCAAATGAAACAACTTTTCACCCATTGGAAAATACATTTCTGTTCGCACCAAAATTTCCGCATGTTTTATCTAAATGATAAGTACCCAAGATCGTTGAACACAAGTAAGCAAACGCATAGAAAGGCATAGGAGAGGAAGGGAAAAAGAGAGGGGGGTTAAATGATTTTAGTATATGCTAAAACAGTGGATAGTGTTTTTCGCGCGCTCTGATTGGCTGCTCAATCTCGGAATATCCTGCACTATTCACTGATTCGCCTCCAGCCGAGCGGCGCCAAACTCTTGCAAGTTACATGTAGGACAAAAATGGCTCAGTCTCGGTTTGCCACGGTAACTAGCGACGAAATTTCGAAAATAAATGAAGAGGCCATACCAGACAACACTAAAAAAGCGACTAAATTCGGTCTAGCAGTTTTCACATGTAAAGCTTTGTCTGTTTAACCTGAATTTTATCGATGAAACCGGTGAAAAAGTTTTTTGTTTACAAATGCAAATTATGTCTTTCGTTACTTAATGTTAGCTGACATGTTTATAAATAAGCTTACTTTTTTTACAGAATGGTTTCAGGTGCAAGAAGAGTTCAAAACTCCCTTTGAGGAGATGTCACCAATTCAGCTTAACAAATGCCTCCAAAAATTTTACTTGTCCGCACGAAAACGTGACGGCAGTTACTACAACAAAAAGTCGCTTATCGCAATCCGAGCCGCGTTAGATCGTCACTTAAAAAGTCCTCCGTTTTCAAAGCCCTTTTCCATTGTTGGCGACAGTCATTTTAATGAAGCCAATAAATCCCTCAGCAATTTTCTGAAAACTCTGAGCAAAAGTGGCCAAATAGCTCCGACAGCACAAACAAGCCCTAACAAAGGAAATTGTTGAGAAACTTTACGAAGAAGGCGAGCTTGTTGGCATCGATTCTCTCCAACCACACAAAGTACAGCAGACGGCCTGGTTCTTCATCAGTTTATTCCTCGGAAAGAGAGGTCGAGAAAACCAGCACCTGCTTAAGAAACACATGCTTATCTCAAGGGAAGCGCCAAATGGTGAAAAATATCTGGAAATAAACAAAGAGCGCGGAGCAGTGTTGGCGACTAAAAACCATCAAGGTGGCCTAGATGATAAAGAAGATGAGTCAAACGTAAAAATATTTGAAAGACCAGGCTCAAAACGCTGCCCAGTGAAACTCATCGAGAAATACCTGTCACATCTGAGTCCCAAATGCAGCAGTTTATTCCAGAAACCAAGAAGCTCGTGCAAAGCATTTAACCCAGCAACGGATCTTGTGTGGTACTGCTCGAGTCCACTTGGCCACAACATGCTTGAAAATATTCTACGAAGAATGACATCAAGAGCTGGAATAAGGCCACATCTAACAAACCACTCGATCAGAGCGACCACCGTGACGGTTTTGTCAGCTGCATCGAAAGTCGGTACATCAGGGCAATAACCGGCCACCAAAGTGAAGAAAGCATCAAGAGCTGTTGTGATACGCCGACATTCGAGCAGTTTAAAAGAATGTCAAACGACCTAAGTGAATTCTTCGATCCAGCTGGTGACGATGACAAGGCTGTTACAGTCCCTCAGAAAACCGTTGCGTCGTCATCGAGCCAGCCGCAATCAGTAGCTACGAGCACTGAAAATTATTCCTTCCAGTCCATTCAAGATGGATCACAGAATCTTGTCCATGGCTTCATTCCCGGAGCCACGTTCCATAACTGTAATCTCAACTTTAAGGTGAGCTTTGGAGGAAGCAGCAGCAAATAAAACTTGTAACAGACAACGAAAAGAACAATCTACAAAGATGGCGTAAAGCGAGGACTTTTCCTTTCGCATAGCTTGATCTTTCATTTACGGTTGTAAAGTCTTAAACACAAAATTATGAACATTTCATTTAACAATTAGTTCATGCGGCAGCGTGCGTATGTCGAGATATTGAGCACGCGGGAAGTTTGGAGAGCACGAAAGAGGCGTAAGAGTTGCACGAGGCGCAGCCGAGTGCAACTCTAGCCTTTTGAGTGCTCTCCAAACTTCCCAAGTGCTCAATATCTCGACATACGCACAGCTGCAGCATGAACTAATTGTTTTATAACATTATCAAAGCGATCAATGCAGCAGTTAACTGAAAATTTTAAGCAGTACGCGTTAATGATTACGTGACTATATTTTTTTTCCTCACAGTTAATCTTATGTTTTTATCCTGAAACTGAGAGAAAGTGTACTCTAAAATGATTGCAAAATCCATATTTAGGTGCCGGAAAACTTTTAATTTACGAAAAAAATTGTTATTGAGAGAAAACAACTTTGCAAAGAATGATCTCACGCCATAGCCCGCACAGCTCGCCGAGATGACAACAACAACAACAACACTCACCTCTTTTCCTTACTATCGGTTAACAAATTCAAACCTTTCCTCTTAAATTTCCTTATAAAACACATGGTAAACGCTTCATTGTCTATTGCTGAGTTATGGATGCACTCGGGAGACTCAGGATTGCTAAGCTCCCAACAACTCGAGGAATTACGAATAGTTTATTGACGTCATCAGCGTGCTCAATAGGAATATGAAGCACGCTCGCGCTACTGAATTTGATTAGGCGAATTTTCTAGCTATGTTATAACATCAGATGTGTCATGTGACTATTTTGAGCTGCGCGCATGTTTGTTTAATTTGCGCGCCAAAGTTGTAAATAAACGAATTAAAAATCGTCATTTGAGATCATTTTAGGCTTATTATCTCACTGTTTTAGCATATACTAAAACAATTATTCACCTCAGTGTCGGTGGCTAGTATTGGATATTTACCAAAAAAAATAATAAATATGCTAATCAGAGAACTTAACATGGTGGCAGTGGTAAATCAAACAGAATGAGCGATACAGAGGTTGAAGAACCAGATGCAGAGGCCCAACCGATTGCTGAACAACCAGCTCCTAACACTGGAGCACAACCAGTGGTGTCATTGCCAGGTACACAACCCCCGACAGGATTGAATCTATCCTCGCGAAACAAGGGCAAGCTCTGGAAGTTATATAAGCAACAATGGAAGAACTATGAAATCATGCTGCAGTTGAACAGACAAACAGAGGAATGTAGAATCGTTCTATTTCTTTATTCATAGGCCCACCATCTGTGAAAACCTACAACAGCTTCGATTTAAGTCAAGAAGACAAGCGTAATCTCGGTGCGATCATCGCAGCCTTTGATAGATACCCCAATGGAGAGACAAACGAAACATTCAAGTGTTTTCTATTCAACAAACGAGAACAACAAGAAGGTGAATACATAGACCAGTACCTTGCGGGAGCTGAGGATTCTAGCCTAGTTGTGCAACTTCTGTAATTGTCTTCACGACTCCCTGACTCGTACTTGGGATCAAAGATAGCGGAGCCTGTAAGCGATTATTACAGCAACACCAATTGACACTCCAATGCTGCATCGACAACTGCAAGGCAAGCGAAGCCTCAAACACACAGATTAAGTCGCTTGGTCAGTCCACAAAGGAAGAAGTACGAAGGGTCAAAGAAACAAGCAAGCATGTAAAAAAAAACAGACGTGGGCGCAAAGGAATCAAAACAGAAAGGCTGGAAATTACCAAAAAGAAGGCGCCAGCATGTCATACTTGCAAGTTCTGTGGAGGAAATCACCAATTTGGCTGGCAACATCGTCCCGCTTAAGAGGCAAACTGTAGGTCTGGTGGAAAAGACAACCATTTCACTAAATGCTGCCAGTCCACTAACAGAAACAGGACGCATGGTGTAAGAGAAGAATACAAAGAAAGTTCAAGTGATGCAGACGACATCAACGAAGAAAGGTCAAGTGAATCAGATTACATCGATTGCGTGACTTTAACACCAAATTCTATTAGTACAGTTGAACACCGTGAAAATGTGCAAGAAATTCACGCAGAAATGATCCTGAAAGGAAAAGCAATCCGCTTTCAAGTAGACTGTGGGGGCGAATGTCAATGTGCTAACTGCAAAGTATGTAGGACATGAGGAGATTAACCTGACCAAGAACGTCTTACAAATGTGGAATAAATCGGAATTGAAGCCTGAAGGTATCACGTGTCACGATCCGAAAACTGAGGAACGACAAAAAATATTCCATGGAATCTGTCATTGTGAAAGAGGAGTTAACCCCGCTTCTGGGAGCAAAAGCCAGCCAACACACAGGACACCTCGAAATGCACCCAGAAAATTTTGTGCGGGTAGCAGGTGTCAAACAGCTGCGCTGCAGAGCAGACAAGTTGAAGACCGCTGACCAACTCATCAAGGAGTATGAAGATGTCTTTGAAGGAGACCTAGGAACCCTCCCAGGAGCTCAGCGATTAGAAGTCAATCCCGGAATATCACCAAATATATCACCTTCGAGACGAGTAGCCTTAGCGCTGAAGCCGAGACTCAAGCAAGAACTAGAGAAGCTCACGAAATTAGGCGTGATAGCACCAATGGATGCACCCAGGATGAACCTTAAAACTCAAGTGCACAGAATTCCCCTACCTCGCACACCTTGTCACCAAAGAGGGCCTGAAACCAGACCCAGACAAGATAAAGGCTGTGCAAGAAATGCCGCGACTGGACAACATCAAAGCAGTCAGAAGATTCTGTGGATTCATCAATCACTTAGCAAAGTTTATGCCGAAACTAAGTGAAGTCATGGAGTCTATTAGAAACCTCACTTGCAACAAGAATGAGTGGAAGTGGACCCATGAACATGACGCAGCTTTCAAACGAGAAATGGCCACCACATCGCCACTTCTTAAGTACTACAACCCAGAAGACGAACTAATAATCCATATTTGTGATGCCAGTGAGAAAGGGCTCGGAGCAGCAGTAATACAGAAAGGTCAGCCGGTGGCTTTTGCAAGCCATGCCCTCACAGACACAGAATCCTGATATGCGCAGATTGAAAAGGAACTTCTTGCTGTGGTCTTTGCACTTGACAAGTTCGAGCAATATGCATATGGCAGATCTGTCACAATCGAGAGTGACCACAAACATTTGGAGGCCATTGCCAAAGAGCCGTTAAGATGTGCACCCAAGAGACTACAAGGGATATTTCTCAAGATTCAGAAGTTTGACATCAACATCGTCTACAATCCAGGATCTCGAACGTACCTAGCTGAAACACTAAGCCGGGTGTACCTGCCCTCAAGTAAGAACACTAAGGGAGTCTTTGAGAGGGTTAATGTGCTGAAGATCCTACCAGTATCAGAAGAAAAGCATGATGAAATCCTGGGACATACTAGCAAAGACGAAGTCCTTTAGCTGCTCAAAGAAGTACTTTTAACTGGATGGCCAGCGGTCAAGAAAAGCCTTCCTGCTGTGCTGAACCCCTACTACAGTTGCTGGGATGAGTTGTCCATGTACGATGGACTGACTTTTAGGGGGGAAAGCCTTGTTATTCCACACGCCCTGCTCTATCACACCATGAAACAGCCGCACAGCTTCCAGTTAGGAATCAATGGATCTCTAAGAAGAGCCCGCGAGTGTCTATTTTAGCCGAGCATGAGCACCAAAATAAAGGAATACATAACCCAATGTGAAATATTAAGGCAAGTACTCAGCTAAGCAAGCCAAGGAAACACTGATGAGCCTTGAGCCCACTGACAGGCCATGGGAAAAAGTCACAGTAGACATCTGCAATCTTGACAACAAGGATTATCTCATTGCTGTGGACTATTTCTCCAATTTCTGGGAAATTGACAGGTTTAGAGATACCAAAGCATCCACATGTGTACGAATGCTGAAGAGTCACTACATGAAACGGCATTCCTGATTTTGTAATCTCAGACAATGGACCACAATTCACCTCTTCAGAGTTCGCTCAGTTCAGAAGAGAATGGGGCTTTGAGCATAGGAAAAGCAGTCCTCGTCATCAACAGGCAAATGATCAGGCGGAATCTGCTTTCAAGATGGCCAAGAGCACCCTCAGGAAGGCAAAGAAAAGCAAAAGTGACCTCTACCTCGCAATACGTGCAGCACAAAATACCCCTACAGAATATATGGATTCGAGTCCAGCGCAAAGACTGCTAAGAAGACGCACCAAAACCCAACTGCCCATAACAGCTGAACTCCTCAACCCACAGCATGTCAACACAGAGGACATCAACAAGTGAATCAAAATGTGTCAACAAAAGCAAGCGCACTACTGCAACGGAAGAGCAAGAGACCTAGCCCCGTTACAAGAAGGATATGCTGTACACATGAGACCATTCACATTGAATGGGAAGACATGGGACAAGGCAACGGTGGCAAAAGGACTGGATAAGCAAATATACCTAGTCGGGACAGAAGATGCATCCTACAGGCGAAACAGAGTGGATCTTTGGAAGACACAAGAAATGAGTCAACCAGATACCAGTAGCATCAAAAGACGTAAAGTCAACTCAGGAAATGGCTGTCAGTCACCCCAACCCCTATGCCAGCCAGCCTCTATGTCACCGTCAAAACAACCAGAAATCTTGTTCCACACAAGTGACAACTGCACCACCAAGTAGCGAGAAAGCGGAGCTGGGATGCCCTAACAAACCAGTCAGCCCGACATCTGTGTCGGTGGCGACTGAAAGCAGACCTACAATGGAGGACAACATTCTTAGGACAATTAACACGATCTGCCTTAATTTTTCCCCATTTCCCCCTCTCCCCCAAGCAATGTTGTAGTTTGTGCACTCCTGTACACTTTACCCTGTCCTAAAAGTGTTTCGTCATCCCAACATTGTTTGGAGGGGGGAGGGGAGGCCCAGTCGCAGTATCCAAGTGGTTAGAGAAGTGCACATTATGATACATCTGAGCATTTGATAAGTTAAGGATGTGGAAGGAAGGTTTTTCATAATCGTTCCAAGGATTTTTGTCCTCCATTGTCTGAACAATATTCCAGCTGGTATACACGTAATTGCAATAACATTGTCACAGAAAAAAGCAAAAAGACAAATAGGAATAAATTAGCCACGTGATTTACATTTGCGTATTTTAATTCAGTAATTGACAATTATTTAGGAATTCATTCACAATAGCCATGTGATTTACATTTGCGTATTTTAATTTAGTATTTAACATTTAGGAATTCATTCACAATAACAAGAGATAATTCTGAAATTCTGCGCTGTAAGATAGACAGGCGCCATAGTCATTTTAGAGCCAACATTCTCCATGAACAGAAGTCGCACAATTTGAAAAAGAAAAAGCTAAATTGAAGCAAGCAATATTAAGTCTCAGTTGTCGCACTATCAATCGCCAATCTATTATGTCCCGACAAACAAAGCTTGGTTTGTGGCGCGGGAGAGGAACTGGCGGAGGAACGCCTCCCCCTCTCCGCGATGAAAAGTCCAGCCTAAGCCCCTGATTTGCAGCGTGAAAATTGTGATCAGATGGTGTTGTGCACTACAAACCATACACAGACTGGCTTTTCTATTTAGCAATAATCTAAAACACGCGTTGAGTTCTTGGAATTCACCCGAGGCTATATTTATTGAACAAAATGTAGCCATTATTTCTTTAGTAGTTATCCGATGTGCTTTGTAATTCGAGCACGTTTGAAATTCCCTAGATGAATCAGCCTCGAATTGCATAAGAATGACACCAAGAAACTAATGCAAATGATTTCTCTCATATTACGTGATTAATATTCAGCTATAAGCGTGTGTGTTGTGAATGTTGCAAGATATGATAATTACATGCTAATTAATTCCTATTTAACTTTTTTGCTTTTGGTTTTTTGCTTTTTTTCTATGACAACCTTATTGCAATTAGGTGTATATGAAATTTGGAAGGAATTTTATACTCAAAGTTGGGAGACCAGTATCCTTTGTTTCCATTTTAAGAGGTAGGCAGTACCTTATTAAGTGCCTGTTTTGAAAACGAGTCGGAGGTGGGGGTAGGTAGGGGAACACCAGGGTGTGATATAGTTGCACAATGGGTAACGTGTATTGAGGCTCATCACAACACAGATATTGCCGAAAATGGGCAGGAGATGAATCTGTACCATTATCACATGGCTATCAAACTGGAAAAGAGGGTCTGGTGGTTTTAAGTACGAAAGTATTTAGATGAGAACTTCGGGATAAAGGTGAACTTCAGCGATAATCACGCCACCTACTACAGCAACGACGCTTTGCACTCGCTTTGCCATCCAGATTTAATGGACGCTCCTCCTCAAACTGAATCTGCTGTGGCCATGAAAAAGAGAAAAGCAAAGGCCAAACAACACCGCCGTAAGTCTCAGAAAAGAAGAGGTGATCGCCTGAGCACTTTTGACATGTGTCAGCTGGTGCAAGCCAAACCCATAAGCTCATGCTTAGAGCTGGTATCTTTAGCGGCGACTCAAGTTAGAGAAGGGAAAACGTGTTGGCCAAATTTATTGCCAACCGGGGAAGTAAAGCGGTCGGTGAAGCGATTCAGTTAGCAAAGAATTTTGCTGAGGCCGCAACAAGTTTAAATCGGTTTAAAAAAAAACCACATTAAACTGCTAGAAGAGAAGCTGACCAGGGATGGTGTACAGCTGCGGAAGAGTTACTCCAGCGCCACGAGATCGAACAGCGTTCATTTTGCAATGCAATTTACAGTGCACTGGAAAAATGTAGAGGGAAGTATCGCAATGTTTATATAAATGGTCCTGCAAATTGCGGGAAACCATTTATTGTATCGCCCCACTAGCAGTAATTTACCAGGCTTTCTCGAATCCCGCCACGGGTTCATTTGCCTGGATAGCTGCTGAAGAGGCTGAGATTATATATCTTAATGATTTTCGGTGGCATCCTAAGATCATCGCCTGGGCCGATTTTCTGCAAGCTCTAGAAGGGGATACAGTTCACTTACAGTTCACTTACTGGCGCCCAAAAATTTATGTAGCAAAGATATTGAGCTATCAAAAGATACCCCGTTTTATGCGACCTTGGATGCCCCGTTGGTGCTAGTGAAAGGGGGTGTGATCGACCGCGTGAATACAGAAATGATGAGCTGTAGATAGGTTTTTTCAATTTCCACAAGCAAATACCACATGCAGAACAGGACAATATCCCCCTGTGTAGATTTTCCTTTGCAAAATTTACTTTGCGTGATCTGCGTGGCTTATGTGACCCCTTTTTACCTTGCGTGACTAAAACTTGTCATTCTAAATACAACTGTTGTCACAGTTCTCACATACAGTTCTCGGGCTAAACAACTTTTTTACCCTGTTTTGACCGATGTACAATCCAGTTATGTACTTGTAAGTATTTTTGTTCGAGTTACCCCTGTAAATATTGGTTTTAGATAAGGAATTATACACGGACAACGATTTTTGGCAATAGTTCTCGCCCTAAACTAATAAAGAAATGAAACGTTAACAATCTCCTTTTAAATGTTTAACCCGAGAATTGTTGTAAATCGCCAAACCTATGTGCTTTATACATTACTTGTACAACATTCAGTGGCACCGAAACATTTTATTACTGTTTTTATACAGCTGGATCATAGATCAAAATCCTTTAGCACGATATTTCACATAATGTAGCTAAGAACTGCATCCGAGAAATGTTATATGTTAAAAAAACACCGACTCAATGTAACCCAATTCTGTGCTCTTTTCCAAAAATACATGATTTAATACAAGTGGCAACTATTTTGTAAGGTTAAAAGTTCATTCAGTCATGATTATCAATCAAAGTAATTGTGGTTCAGAAAAACGTTTTAGTATAAGAAAAATAGTGTAAAGGTGACATTCAATTGCACGATTAATATTTTATTCTTTCGCCCTTGGAGGCAAGAACAGCCATAATCCTTCTGTTCAAACTAGAGATAATTTTATCTGTAGTTTCAACGGGAATATTCCCAAATGCTTCCAAAACTCAAACATTAAATTCGTCAAAGGATTCCCTCACAACGTTTCTGCATATTGCCTCGCAATCTGAGTAAAGCTTAACAAGATGGAAAATATTCTCTATTGGATTCAGATCTGGTGACTGGGGTGGGATTTCATGAAAGCTTCCCTCAATATCTTCAAGGGCAAGTTTCGCGGCTCGACTGGTCTGTGAGGGGTCGTTGTCCATAACAAATAAACGTCCACCATCTGCTTTTGGACCACCTTTTGAAATGTTCCCAAATAAATGTTGCAAAAAATTCACCAGTCATTTTCTCATACAGTACTTTCAAGACGACTCCTTTTCCGTATGTGTGGCGACGATAACATGCACAATGCCGTCCACCCGCTAAATCTTTACATGCTTTGGTTGTAAGTTGAAGCCCTTCCTCTCGTTTTTGCCACACCCTGGCTCTGTTAGAGGCCATACCACTTTTTGGGTTATACTAGTGAACAAACAATACCCCGTCCCAGTAAAAGGAAATTTCATTTATCCAGAAATCAGGATTTCTAATCAGATGTTGCTTCATCTTACATGCAAATTGCAGTCGCACTTTTTTATCATTGGCACTAAGAATCCCCTTTCTCCCAGCCGAAAAATAATAGTATCCAAGTTCATTCAAATAGCGTGAATACGTCCTCCTACTGGCCACTTGAAAACTAAGACAACTCTCTTCAACTAAACTTCTCACAGTAATGTGTACATTATTCCATCTAAAAGACTTTAAGGTACGAATCAGTAAACGCTTCTTTCTTTCGCTTACATTTCATGGTCTTCCCTGCTTCTCGTCACTTGGTATCCTCGTCAAACTTCCATTTGGAAACTCATTACTGCAAATTCAGTGCGCAGACGATTATGACATTCCACATTTGTCAGGCATTCTTCGGTAAGAAAATTTACTGTATGTTCTCAGGTACCAGGCAAAAGCCCTTTTCTCTCCTGTGATTTGTTGGATGAAAACCATACTTGTGTGTACATACAATTATTTCCAAACCAGACAAAGAGTAATTTCTCATGGAAAGTTGAAAAATGCCACACGCGATACCGTTTTCGAACTCTCCCAAAGCTCGCCCAAACATTACTTTTGGTCACACCATATATCCTTTCACATTGTAAATAACAATTCCTTGTCTTATTATGGTATTTTTTACTATTTTTCAAAATGTTAATACTACTTTTGTGCGTTAGGCAGTATTCAGAATGTAGGAGAGCTGTCTGTGAGCCGGCATACTTGAAGGACTATATAAGAAACTGAACTGTAAACTCTCGCTTCACAAACATTGAGAGCAAGAGACATACCGAGAATAAGGACATGACGGTAAAAGTGAAGAACAGCTCCCCTAAAAGTCTGTCGGCCGACTGTCGGTATACTGTCGGCCAACTGTCAGCGGGCAGTATACCAACAGTTAACCGACAGTTGACCAACAGCAAACCGACACTAAAAATTTGACAAGTGTAATGATATCGAAGTCACTCGACCGTTACCGTTCTATTAGAATCAGTCGCATGGCGTACCACAAATTGAGCTAACATTGCATCATCGTATGTCTCGGGTAAGTTTATCTATGAAATCGCCCTATAATGCATTTGACAAGTGTAATGACATTGCGGTCACTCGACCCTTACTGTTCTATTAGAATCAGTCGCATGATGAAGCACAA